GAATTTTTAAAATGAGTTTGGTATCTCCGATTCCGAACTTCCAAGCAGTTGGAATTTGACCTGATTTGACTTTCACATTCAATCGCAAATGCAGTCTGATTAGCTAGATATCCAAATAAATCTGAACATACGGAATCTACTTAGATCGTTCCATACAAATAGAAGCTTAACTTTTGCTGACTCTCGGCTTGTAGTCTAGGCGCTCAATCCGATTCTCCAATATTTGTTCCATATAATGAACCTCCTCCACCGCGGACTTCAATCAGTGGCTGGTCCGATCAGAAAGTCAATTTTCAGATTCACGAGGAGCCGCCTGCGTCTCCAACAGCTGTAAGCGCTGTCGGAGAGTTTTCCAACAGTCTTCCAGAATCCATCACGCATCGCGGCTCGATTTTGAGTCCCGCCCACCCAGCAGCCGCGGTTGGTAGATCAAATCTGCCAGGGCTTCCATCGGAGACCTGGCATCTCCTTGATGTATATTTTTCTTATACTCATTGCTGGCTCCCTGTTATAGAAAAGCACGACTTGTTGAGAATCTCGTATCAATATTCTCAAACAAGGACCAGTGGAGCAGAGATTGTGGGTGGAGATCACGCACTTTTATGGGCTGCAATAGCCTATGCCAAATTTCAACATCGAGCTATCAACAATATACCTCATGCTCAGGGATTGGTATCGCAAGATGTATGGACGGCCGAAAGAATGTATACACACGCAAGAGCTCTTGTTCCAAATGAAGAGGAAAATCTAGACCTTGGCCATGTGCAAGCTCTCCTAATCTTGACTCTCACAAATTTTGGACTTGGGCATTTAAACAGGGCATGGATACTTGTTGGACATGCTGTCAGGATTGCTATTGAGCTTGGTCTTGAGAAACCGTTGGTTGAGGAGCCAAAGTCATCGAGGCATAACTCGAGATCTAAGCACGTATTCCTAGGTTGTTTCGCTTTGGATACCTTAGTCGCAGCACGTCTCCGAAGACGCCCTCATTTAAGATCAGATGATCTGGATTGTATTGGAATGTTAGTCGAAGATGGTTTGGAAGAATGGGATCCTTGGACGGACTGTCTCACTGTTCGAAGGAGTGCTATTGGAAATTCTAGAGTTCCAGCCTCTATTCTAAGCACTTTCAATCGTCTCGTCCAGGTTCTTCGGATTTTGAATGATGCAAGTTGCGCATCTGACAGTTCAAAAACTGTCCAATTTAGTACCGGATTGCTGGAAAGGTTACATATCTGGAGTCGATCCCAATCGCAGCCTTTATATTTCGATTCTACTGCAATGAATAGCGAGCAAGCTTCTTCGCTGCTACCGCATCATTATCATCTTCATATTGCATATTTCACCACGCTTGCGGAATGTCAGCTCTTATCACATGGTCAAAGAAAGGGAAGCCCTGATTTAGAACCTTGCACAAGATCGGCACGTCAAATAGTTCACCTTTTGAAACGACATTCTTATACATTCGGGCTTCTGATAGTTCCACCGACATTTGAGTACTACACCAAGAAAGCATATGACGTAGTTCATGCGGTCCTACGAAGTATTGATAATACACATATTGGTGAGCTTTATTTCATTTTCTTACTTCCCAATGTCCTACTTCTTCCCGGATTCTGCTTCTTCCTTGATGCCTAAAACTCTTTGGTTCTGTCGCGTTCTGTTGTGAGTAATTACTGACAACCTGACTTCGCAGTCCTTGACGATTGGAAGTACAACTTAAATATGTGCGTTTCTACCATGGAACCAGCATGGCCAGTGTTTGAATCCTTCAAAGATGCTGCCGAAATCGCCCTGCTACAAAACCGACGTGAAAGTCAAGCTACGTTTGATCTCATGGTCCCAGCAGCCGTGGAAACGCCTCAATCGGTCCAATCGCCCAACAGTACAGCCAGCTACGAAATAAGTCAACCCTACAGTTCTCAAGTATTTCGATCACAATCAATGAACAGTATGGATACATCACGGCCTAACAGGAGTAATCTTCAATATACGAAGGATTTGGTGTCGTCAACATTACATGTAAGTTCGTTTATTTTTTGATATTGAATTCCTCAGACTGCAACCTTGTGTGAATGTTCTGTTTTCAATGCTCGGTCAAATTTTCGATGTTTAGAACTGCAGTGTGACCTTGCCATCCTCATCTTGCCATAAAGTCTTGTTCCTTACTTTACTCAAGCCTTCCTTCACGGGTAATTGCTGACTCGCTGGTGACGCAGTACAATCACTCTTTTAATGGTTCTCTGACCGAGAACTTTTCTACAAGAATCTCGGAGAGTCCTCAGTCGGTTTATAACAACGGAAATACTACAACTTTAAACTCGTGGGGTGTTCCTCAACAAAACCAGAATCCAAACCGGGCCACTAATCGAATGCCGTTTGGGTTGCTCCAGCAATCTCCCAACTTACAACAAACCGTGCTCCCAAACAACCTAGAAACCGATGGTGATTCAATATTTAACGATTTTGCTGTGATGGATGCAATGGAGTGGTACGTTGATCTTTCGAAACCACAGACAGTGAGAACTTTCTAGTATTAACAGTATGTAGGACGAACAGTATGGATCAGAGTTTAGTAAATCTCGGATTTGAGGATCCCGACAACAGAAATAAGGACTTTTACACTTTCTGCCGGGAACCTGACCCGCTATACTCGAACAATACTATATTCCAACAACTTCTAGCGAGCTCTGCGTCAGATTCATTCGGCATGGATAACCATGGTTTTGGAAGTATAGGAATGGGCATGCCTGGCGATACAGCGTTTGGAGGAGGCATAGATTTTGGACACGGCGATGAAGGAATCGAGGCAGGGCAGATACTCCAATCATTGAGCGCTGCCGAGGAGCAACGAACAAATCCTGGTGGGAATGGTTGATGTGTCTTTGTTTGAAAAAGAAAATATATGAAGAGATAAATGGTTTTGTATGGATTCATGCAAAGTTCAATGCCAATAGTGGAAGATATAATTGCTAACCGAGAATCATACTTGATATGTACAATAAATGTACTATGTGTATTTAACGCCACGATGTATAAATGTCGCCATCCCGCCAAGCGCCGTGTAATGCATATCGTCTATCTACTCCACATCATTCAAATCTTACAAGCGAGCCATAACGTCAGTTCCGATTTCCCCCCTTCTCTCCCTCTCTGCCCTTCTTTCATTCACATTAGCACACACATTTTCCCACCCCATCTCCTCACAAACATATTCCCAACTTCTAAATGCTCTCTCAGCATGTTCTCTGGGAACGTGATCGCCTTTCTCCACCAAGCTTCGATTGAATAATTCGAAACTCACCCATCCCTTATACCCTAAGCCATCACAGATAGCTTTCAGCACATCCATTACGGGAAGATAACCCCCTCTATCCTGCTCTCCCAGAAATAATCTACAATTCCTGCTCCATGACATTCGCGCTTTGATTCCCTCGGTATGAAACTCGTGGCCTTGAACCAGCGGCTCAGCCAGACGCTCAGCATCAACAATCTGGATGTAGAATACTTTTCTGGGATCAATAGTTTGTACCATCTTCTCCAAAATTTTCTTGAACGTCGCTTGAGCATTAGGTACAATGCCCGAAGGAGAAGCCGGGTCAGCAAATTCGCGCCCGGCGATATTAAATGTGTCTAAACATAAACCAAAATTTTCTCTATCAACGCCCTTCACGATTTCCCACGCTCCACTCCACGTATCAATGCGTGCCCCAAAACACAGATTCTCAAACGCGAATCTGAAAGGTGGTTCTTGGGCAGCACCTAGATCGGCGATTTCGCGAAGATCGGAGACCATTTGTGATATGGAAGGGGTGGTGCCGGATGAGGAAGTGAATGTGGAGGGAATTTGAATTATATCTGTGCCTAGAATGCGGCAAACTTGGAACCGGAGGTTCAGTTCTTGAAGTGTAGACTTTTTAGCGGTAGAGGATAGGGATCCTTCTTGGCAAAAGAAAGGCCCGCAGGCTATAATGGGAAGACCATAATATGAGGAGAGGGAGCGCGTATATTGCGCAGCGTGAATATGAGAGAAAGGTGATGGGTGAGAAGGAAGAGTAGAAGCTAGATCAGCTAGATCTTCGTAGACTATGGGAGAGTTTAGTTTTTGTGGTGGTGAGACGGATGGTGTTCTTACACATTTCAATACCAGAGAGACCTGCATCTCTGGCGGCCTTGAATTTTTGTTCGAGACTATGATGGGCAAAACAGCGCCCGAGGGACATGCTTGCAATTGCTGGTTTGAAAGACATTTTGATATTGGGTTTACGGAGGGATGCGATAATGATATGAATATGAATTACTGGTTATATGCAATGCAACGCAACGCGGTACAGCTGAAAGGCGACGATAGTCAAAAGCAATATGACGATATGGAGAGAGTTTCAGTTCAATCAACTAAGAGAACAATTGACCTTGGAAGATATGAGAATAAGAGCAATATATGCAGCAAGTCACAGAGTTACATCAACAACCAAGCAGAGATTGAGATTGACACAGTCAAGTATAGGGCCAGTGCATTCAGCCTCTCTGATAAGGTCCACACCTCATATCTTTTTCCCATTGAGATAGAACTACTATCTATTATTCCCATTCCGAATGGATAAGAATTTTAGAAAAACAAGCGTTGTATCAAAAACATTTGACTGTTTCATGGCTAATTCATGCGTTAAAAGAATTGTCCGTCAATTACGGCTAAAGACATTGCCGCAAAAGCCTCTTGGTTACCAGATTTGTGGGGAGCTGGCATTGATGTGCGATGCTAGCCGATGGTAATGTTCTTATTAGTCAGCTTGGCAGCATATCGGATTTCTCCGCATTTACCTGCGAGAAGAACCACCCCGGCATGTCTTCAATTACCTACATGACCATAGAATGTGGTGGGCAGGTAAACAAGAAAAGACGTAGTCGAACAGGTAGGTAAATGGGTAGGTTTGTAGTTGCTGGTTGAGTCGCATCACATCATTGCTCCGTTTGATAACGATCTCTCAAACTCATAAATAATGACTTCAGAATCCACCGAAAAACCAATCTCCATTGCTATCATAGGCGCCGGTCTAATTGGTCCTCGGCATGCCCAATCGATCCTAGGTCACTCTGCATTCCCTGACAGACCTGCTCCACATGCAATCCAGATTGCGACTTCCCTATCGACCACCTCCCACTCCACGCTCTCCTCCCTTCTCTCATCCACTCCGCTACCAACGACAGTGCTAATTTGCACCCCAAACCATACCCACGTTTCTATAGCCATCTCCTATATCAAAGCCAGCATAAAATATGATCTGGCGGAAAAGCCCGTCTCCACATCCATACAAAAGGGCGCTAAATGATTATCCGTTGCAAGAGAACATGATACTACCATATTAGTTGGTCATCATCGCCGTTTCAACCCCTATCTTATACCTGCCAAAAGCGAGCTTGATTCCGAATACTCGGTCAAATAATTGGTGTGCAAGGTATTTAGGCGTTGAAACAATCCTCAACATATTTTGATAGATTAGGAGAATGGAGAAGAAATGGTGAGAGCGGTGGCGTGGTGCTCATTAATTTCATACATGACCTTGATTTCTACAATACCTATTGGGCAAGATTATTACGGTGTCTGCTATTGAGAGTAAGAAAACTAGAGGCTTTGATGCTGAAGGAGGGGCGATGATATTGCGATTTGAGAGTGGAGTCGTAGGAACATTTTTGCTAAGCGATGCTGTTCCTTCCCCATGGAATTTCGAAGCTGTCAATGGTGGAAATCCAACAGTCCCTCAGTTAGGCAAGGAGAATGGTGCGGGTGGTTTCTATAGAATATTGGGGGCGAGAGGAGGTATAAGTGTGCCTGATTTGATAAGGTGGAGTTATGAAGTTGGGGAAGGAGAAAAGGCGTGGAATGATGAGTTGAGGAAAGATGAGATAGGGATCGATACGGAAAATGTACCTTTTGACGAGCAGATCAAACACTTAGTCCAGGTAGTAAAAGAAGGTAAGGAACCAATGTGTAGTGGGGAAGAGGGTTTGAGTGCGATGGTAGTTTGTGAGGCCGTGAGAGTGGCAATGAAGAGTGGGGAGATGGGTGAGATTGAGTGTCTTCATATTGTAACGAGAATTAGCAAGCATAATTAATGTTTAAATCATATCTAGGGAGCTTATGTCACAAATATTCCATATTTTAACCTTCCTCGGCGTCAATGAGATGCGAAAGTATGACATCGAATTGCGGCAATCCAAGTAGGGTTTGCCTTGCTAAGCGAACTCCTATAGCAATCTCACCCTCTAAATTTTGTTACTACACAAGACTCGTACTAAGTATAGATACCTTTCTTGCTCCATGACATGTTTAGTCTGCTCTTTTGCTCTACTTGACTCCACGTTTTTACTTTGGGAGAAGGGTTATCTAAAACATTGCAACAGAAAATTCCACATCATACTTTCACGGCGAAATCGTTCCTGATTCTCTTCTTTCTCCATATAATCCTTCTGTCTTAAAAGTCCCATAGCTCACTCTTTTGCGAAAATATTCTATTGAGGTCATAAAATTAGTGAAAAGGGCAAAGGAAGCTTCAAATTCGCGAGTGATATTTCTCTTCCGCTTCCATCCGTGGACTTGAATAACCTTTTATAGTATCATTTGTAAGGAAGTGAATTTGATCATTGACTTTCCCAATCACGTGTGTGATACTGCCACAGACTTCTGCGATATAAAAGACTTCAGATGAGATATAATTCTCGAAAGATTTGGAAGTCTTGTGCCAGATCAGATACAAGACACAACCTCAGATCGAATCATGTATCACAGCTCTTCAGTTCCGGTCTTTCCAATAACGTGAAACTCAATATTTAAACTCAATAATTCTCGGGCAAGACGCAAATTAGATCTAGTTGCTGTGTATGAGAACGTCAAGGGATGCTTTGCTTGCCGTCTGAATGAATTTAACGGAACTCCATTCGAGAGCCTCAGCTGAAACTGATTAGATGGACACAAGCTTTTGACCATGGCTCGAAACGTCAAATACAGCTCGTCTAGCTAGAAGTAATATTCACTCGAGGTCTCATAGACAATGCCTCGCCTTCAACGTTGTGAAATAGCGACTAGCTCGCAGGAACTAGTGGCACAAAATCAAGGTCCAGCACGACTTTCTCGCAACCAAAGAACACCCCATGGTCTTGGCGGTTCATTTTTGATAGCAAGTCAAGGAGAGAGAGGCCGCGCGCCAAGACCCGATTCGTCTCGAACGTCGACGCACCACCCCCAGTCCTGAGAGGGTCAACCAGAGAAGAAGGACAACCAATCTCGGTGAGTCTTATCAAGCTCAGAATAGATCCGGTGTTAAAACTGGTTGTGATTATGGTACGTTGCGTCGCTTGAGCTTTTGTTGAGTCTTTTTCCTAAAATTATCTGTGTGTAAAGTCAAGGCTTCAAAAATGCAATCGCCCACTTCGGAATATAAATAAATTGGATCTTATCGCGTACCACGGCAACAAATGGTACATTTTTTCATCTATGACACACAAGCAAATTCTGGATGGCACCCATCATTACATTTTAGTATCATTGTGTAATTGAGCTCAAAGGTACGGTGATGGAAAGCTGTTCTGCGCTTTATTGTGGTACAAAGCGGGCCACGCTGAACTCTAGGAATTTCATAAAGTATTGAGAAATGTTCACATAGACGAAGCTCACCTGACGTTTATCATAGTAGCGTCAAGGAATTCAAGGAGATGCTCTGTAGGATCGCGCAGATAAGACATTGCGCCGTCCACCACGAAGTCGATGCTCCTGTTTCGATTATAAAGAAAATGGTTTATGATTGCATCGAGCTTACGATCATGCTAAGAGATCCAAAGGCAACTGAATTGATGGAGACAATCTGGGAGGACACGACAGAGGAGATATTCTAAAATTCGAACAATCGCACGCTTGACGAAGAACTTCGCGACAGCCTTAGGAGGACGAATAAAAAACTCGACACAGTGGCTGTAACGTACCGTGCCTTGAACTTGCAGAAGGAAGATAATCACTAGCAACTCGACGGTCGACGCTTATAATAACAGTTCCATAACTAACTTGTGATTTTCCACAAGATTGTGCATGCGGATGAACTGGGTCAAGTTATCATACCCAGGGTCAGTGTGCACTTGTTCTGGTGCATGGTCATCGCGGTTGGTGAAAGATGCTTCAGCTGACAGCTATGGATTTGAGTTGGTATCGAAAATGTATGCAGCTGCAAATTCATCTATGTAAAGGATTACAATCCCTTCGTGAGACGTGAGACGTGAGAATACTCGGTCCAAGTGAGGCCACAAGTCATGAAATTTGAGCTCCGATCAGGCGGTTGCAGCAGAGAGTGTGATCATTAACTTGATTGGATATTAAATCATGTGTATTGCTCCTTTCATGCCCTTTTGTTTGGTAAAATAGTTCAAAGTAAAACAAACATACCTACGTCTAAAAGAAACTGTGGTTCTCGGTCTGTGACTTGCTTTGACATGCCAAATAGTGCTTAGTCAGAAAACGGTACCAGTCTATCACTTTTAACCCACCGGGATTGGCTACCTGCTTATGTAAGCTTATATCACGTTAAGCGTCTTGGTAGACATGTATGAGGTGGTTTATGCCTCATTCTCAAGTCTTGTAACAATATTCAAACTTAACACCACTCGTATTTTGATGAAAAGAGAAGCAATTAACAGTACAATAAATTGCTTCGATAATCAGAGGTGTTGCTAAGCTCGAGGCTAGCAAGATGTCCTCGGAAAATCAGCGCAGGCTTCCCATCACCATCCCCCCCAAAAGTGCTACGGAGCCGGCTCAACCAGCTACATTCATATTTTTGCATGGCTATGGTTGGTCTGCCGAACAGTTCAATCAGCATCCTCCTAACAGATTATCTGTCGCATATCATGTCCATAAGTCGCCCATACTTCAAAATGTCAAGGTCGTTATTCCAGAAGGTCTGGCAAATGTTTGGGCTTCCCCTGGAAAGCGGACCTGGTATAATATTGATCAGCCTGTTCCCTCAGCTGGTGATCCCCTGAAAACCGATGAGTTTGGACAGCATAATTCTAATGTGCGCGATATTGAAGTTTCGCTTGATTATTTTGAACATCTCATTGATACGGAGGTTGCAATGGGTACGCCTGCGAATAGAATCGTATTCATGGGAGATAGTCAAGGTTCTTCAATCTTGTATCTTTTTTTGCTCACTCGAAGAAAGGCCGCGGACCTTGCAGCTATCATTACATGGGCCGGGTTCTCCGCGACGCCGCTGGAAACAATAGCACAGATGCAAGAAAGAAATGGACTATTCGAAAGCTGGGCAAAGAAGACACGGTTGTATATGCTACACGGGAAGGAAGATGTCTTCGTTCCTTTGTCGAGATCTGAAGCTCTCGCGGCTGCGCTTGAGCGTTATCGTGCCCGTGGTCAAGGATTCACTACTCTTGAGTGGTTGGTTCTTGATGGTTTGCGTCATTCCTTGGTTGAACCTGTTTGGCCTTACGTTCGAAAGATTCTGGAGCGCCTTTTAATAGAAAGAGGATCAGCATCAAAGCTATGAATCTAAACACTCTTCCGTGGTATTCATATACAATCATACCGGCCCTCACAATTTTTCACCTGCTACATATTTCCATGCTGAGGTTGAGTGTAAAACCAAATTAAGGACGCACATATTTGCGTCATCAAAGTAAGCTGGCCGTATAGATGCATGATGGGGGGCAACAAGAATGAAACCAAAAATCAAAAGAATGGCGAAGCGAAAGTGGTGAAGAGAAGAATAAGGGGCTGAATAATGATAGTAATGGTTTGAACAAAGGTAGTGATTGGATGAATGTTGAAGGATAGTCGATCGATTGTAAAGATCAGTGATAGAAATTTTATTGAACAAAGATTTGAGAATGAGGCAAAGATATAAGGATCCAGACGGGTGCTGAGGATGAGGACGAACGTTTAAATCAACTCCCCCCCCCCCCTAGGGGGCCAACAACATAGTTACCCAAAGGTTCTTAAGGTGTTTAGATTTTTATTCGGTGATGTGCAAGCAACCTTGGAACCTGTTAACTAATTCGGTCAAGGTGCAAGGTTCTTGACTTGGTGTAGAGATGTCTCCACAATTGCGATACATATATTGTTCCAAGTGACTGCGTAGATTATTCACTTTTCAATTGTATAACATAGTTTATCAGTACATATACTATATCAGTATATACACCACTTTTACTTCAATTTACACTCTTCAATCTCAATATATGATTTATCAACTATTTATTATGTAATTGAATAATAAAAAAGGAAGAATACTTTTAGTTATTGAAGCTATCAAAAAAAACAAAAAACTCTCGATTCAAAAGGTTGTTAAGTTATATAATATTATATATATAATACTTATTTAAAGAATAAATGGAACAACTTTTATAATTAAATTTTGATTATAGAATCTAAAACTTATTAAAGTAGAAGAGCAAGTGATTATTTTATATATTCTTGATATAAATTTGAAAGGTTTTTTTTTTAAATTTAAAGGGGTAGAAGATATAACGAACTATATTTTTGAATTAAAAGGAGGAAAAACTATTGGAAAGCTTTAGGTATATTGATTTATAGAATAATATAAAGAATTAAAGATGTATTTTAGTTATGTTTATAATTTTAAAAGAGCTTTTTATAAGGATTCTAAATTTTTTGAAGAATAATTTCAATTAGTTGTAAATATATAAGCGAAATATAATATTTTAAATAAAGATTTCTATAATTTTAATAAAATAGATTTTATAATAGGAATTATATATATAATAATAATTATTATTAGTATTAAAAGACATAACGTGATTTATCAGTGTGCGGGTCATATCAGTGTGCGGGTCATTTTCACCTCAATTCACTCTATTCTCTTTCAATACGCGTTTTTATCAACAATCCACAATGGATTCGAATAATCAAGAAGCCCGTATACTCCTCGCTATCGAAGCTATTCAAAAAGACAAAAAAACAAGTATTCGAAATGTTGCAAAGATATATAATATCTCGAATACAATACTACAGCGTAGAATTAATGGTATTACTTCCTGTTCCGAATATCGACCTAAATCTTATAATCTTTCAGAACTAGAAGAGAATATCATTTCTGAATATATAATTGATATGGATTTGAGAGGATTTCCACCTAAATTAAGAAATGTAGAAGATATGGCGAATCATATTCTTGAATCGAGGGGTGCAAAGCGTGTTGGGAAGCTCTGGGCGCATCGATTCGTAAAGCGTCGAATCGAATTAAAGACGCGTTTTAGTCGTGTTTATGACTTTCAAAGAGCTCTCTGCGAAGATCCTAAGCTTATTGAAGAGTGGTTTCGATTGGTTGCGAATATGCGAGCGAAATACAGCATTTTGGATGGCGATTTCTACAATTTCGATGAGACGGGCTTTATGATGGGTATAATATGCCTCGGAATGGTAGTAACTAGTGCTGAACGGAATGGCAGAAGCAAGGCAATACAACCAGGCAATAGAGAATGGGCTACAGCAATCATATGTGGCAATGGGGAGGGTGAAACTATACCCCCATTTCTAGTGGTTCAAGGACAGGTTCATCTTTCCAATTGGTATACCGAAACCGATTTTCCTGCGGATTGGGCTATTAAACCTACATCTAATAGATGGACAAACAATGAGACAGGTTTAGAATGGTTGAAACACTTCGACAAGCACACTAAGAATCGAAGAAAGGGCAGGTATCGAATGTTGGTACTAGACAGGCATGAAAGCTGTGAATCAAGAGCTTTTCAAGCATATTGCAAAGAGAACAATATTATATGCTTAAGTCTACCATTGCATTCAAGTTATTTAACTCAACCACTTGATGTGGACTGTTTTAGCAATCTGAAACGTTTATATGGTGGTCAAATTGATGGATTTATCAAGGCATATATCAATCATATTTCGAAGGTTGAATTCTTTATAGCTTTTAAAGCTGCATATAAAGAATCAATCATCTCTCAGAATATGAAATCAGGGTTTCGAGGAACAGGTTTAATACCATTTAACCCTGAAGCCGTACTTTCGAAGTTAGATATTCGAATTCGTACACCTATCCCTCCCTCTTTCGATCTAGATCAATGGATCTCTCAAACCCCTCACAACCCAACTGAAGCTCTTTCTCAATCAATTTTAGTGAAATCTCGAATAACCCGACATCAATCAAGCTCCCCTACACCTATATTTGAGACTGTACTAGCTCTAGCTAAAGGTACAGAGAGATTAGCTCATGAGAATACACTTTTGAATGCAGAGATTCGTACACTTCGAAAGGCAAATGAGGCATTAAGCAAGCGTCGACGCGCGAAAAAACCCCAATTACGTCAAGGAGGAGTACTTACTGGGCAAGAAGCTCTTGATATATTATCTCAACAAGAGGTTGATATTCAGATTCAACGCGACGAGCGTCAAAAAGGGAGGAATTCTAATGAAGAAGCATCTTCTAGTCGATGCTGTAGTAAATGCGGAAAGACCGGACATAATGCAAGAACTTGTCAAGATAATATAATAGATCCTAGATTATTATAATTTTCATAGTTTTAATCAATTGATTCAATGGTTGTTGAATAATATGAGTTTGAAAGAGTGAATTGAGGTGAAAATGACCCGCACACTGATATGACCCGCACACTGATAAATCACGTTAGTAGAAGTAAATCAATACAATTAGATAATCAAGAATGAGTTATAACAATAATATATAGAAATAAAAAGAATGAAATTATTCTTTCATTTTTAATAGTTCAAGAACAAATTCATTTTTTCAATTAATATATCGAAATTGATTTTCTTATAGATTAGATCATTAAACCTATATTTAATGAATAAACAAATAATAAAACGAATTTAAAATAATTAAAACATTTCAATAAATATATTAAGAATCAAAAAAAAGGCAAATATTAAATATTAATATTGGATAGGTATAAAAACTATGAATCAATAGTTTTTCAAATATATTATAAAAAGAATGATATTATATATTTATATTTATATTTATTATTATATTTAATTTATTTAATTTAATCATTTAATACTAATTATTTTAGTAACCTAAAATATTCATATAGTAATTAAATTAATAAATTTATTAAAGTATATATCAATTATATTTTGAAGATTGAATTCTTTATAATTTTTAAAACTATATATAAGGAATTAATTGTCTTTCAAAATATAAAATCAAGATTTTAAGGAATAAGTTTAATTTTATTTAATTTTGAAATTATATTCTTGAAATTAGATATTCGAATTCATATATTTACCTTTTTCTTTTTTAATCTAAATTAATAGACTTTTCAAATTTCTTATAATTCAATTGAAATTCTTTCTCAATTAATATTAATTAAATTTATCTATATTAATTTTAATTAAAGGTATAGAATAATTAGCTTATAAAATGTTGTTCTTAATAAATATTAATTAAATCACTTAATATTATTATAATATTAAGGGAACTAATTATAATAATAAAATAATAAAAATTCAATATTATAAGAAAAATTTCTTATATTCTTTATTTTCTTTATATAAGGAAGAATACTATTATAAAATAAAATAAAGAATTCTTTATTCAAAAAGAAATCCTTTATTAGCTCTTTATTCAAAATAATAATTCATTATTTTGAAAAATTTAAAATATCACGTGGAAGCTAGTCCAAATGCGGAATGACAGACGCAATATTAATTTTTCTTTATTATAAAATTGATTTGAAATCAATAAAGAAATTGATTTCAAATCAGAATTTTCATGTACGCCACCTACGTATTATAGGCTGTATAGAGGGCAGGAAAAAAGCATAAATAAGTGGCTTAGGTCCCTGTATTCAGATCTTTTTCTAGAACCCACTTTTATATGTATTCAAGATTATATAATACAATAACAATTCAAGCTTCAATAATAATAGTAATTCTATTTATAAATTCTATAAGCCTAAGCTTCTCATATAGTACTATTATAGTACTATTCCCAATCCAGCCTAGTCAATCCCCTTGTTACGACGGGTAACATTGGATCACGTGATAAGTGTCATGTGATAGGATGTTGGAGCCTTTGGAGTCTAGGATTTAAGGAGCCAGGAGCTTTTGGAGCTTAGGATCCAAGGGATCCAAGTAGGACAGAACTATGGGTTTTGTAGAGCAGGAAGGTCTATATAAAGAAAACAGGTCTCATTATAATACAGAGCTTCGTGCTCAAGAACAATCATTAGTTTCATTATTATAATTATGAGAATTGCAATCAATTACAACCTTATTAAATTCCTACTTGAAGTCTAGTCTAAACCATCTTGAGAGAACTCTAGACACTTCCACATGACCCTAGAGGCAGCTCCCGTAACACCCCTGCTAAGCGCATAACCTACAATATAAAAATATACTTTTAAATATAAAGATTTATATAGTTACTTCAAGTAATAAATGAGATATTAAGTAAATATTAATATATATAAAAAATCCAATTATATTAAGAAGAAATGTTTATTAAATAAAAAGCTTTTAATATATTATCTCAATAAAAGATTAATATTTAAATTTAATATAATAAATATTAAAAAAAGAGTAAATTCAATAAAGAAGTATTTTTTATTTAATATTATAGTAAATTAAAAAGATAGATTATAAAATAAAAATCTATTAAAATAATATAATAGATTCTAGATTATTAAATTCTGAATAGTTTTAATCAATTAATTCAATTATTATTGAATAATATAGATTTGAAAGTATGAATTAAAGTAAAAGTGATGTACACACTAATATAATGTACATACTAATAAACTACGTTAAGTGAATTTCGGTAATAATTGTGCAGCTAAATGGGTTTGAGATAATCAACCACATCTAAACAACAGTTCCCACGTAACTTATCAGCGTTCCTTTTGAAGAGCTGACGACTATTAGGAACCGGGTGTTAAGATACCTGTTGGGCATTCTTGGCTTGTTGAACACTGCCATTTTTCAGTCTAGAGCCTCTACCCGCAGAACGTTTGATTTTTAGACCTGATGGGGTTGATCTGAAAAAAATGTTTGACTAGTACATCCATTCGACGAGGGACTAATTAGCAAATTACATGTAAGTCATCACATCAAGTGAGATGAATCAAGATCTCGCTGATCTAAGAAGCATGAGGATTGTCAAGCTTGATGATAGATGTGGTGTATTGAAACAGTTCCAGAGTTGGAAACCGGCATGGCTTATACCCATAGAATATGCATCACTCGTATAACATGGCACGTTCATTTGTGTCAAAACTCTCCCCGTTTTTGACCCACGTGACGCCTACCTCCTTCCCTGATGTTTTGACGAACGGTCATCACTGCAACCTTTCGTAGATGATGGATCCTTCTTGTATTAGATCTATCGCCAAACTACCCGATCAAATGTTTGATTCGGTGAAAATCACACGCCTAACTTTTCTTTTTCACAGGTTAGAAGTCTGTCATGAGTTTGTTATCTACAGAGCTGTGGGCACGGTGTCGTACTTTCGAAGTTTACCGATTCAGGATTAGATTTCGCTTGCATCATTACCCACCAGTATGTCCATAATCTTATACACTAAATATATAGAAATGCTATTTTAACTCTGATTTATTTATGATTGCAAAGCCGAACATTCGAGAAAGTTTTGGTACTACATGACATCATCAGACCTTGAACAGAGTCAATGATTCAACCACGAATTGAATCTGATTCCCACCCATTTATCAGTCGTTGATACCGTGCTAATCTTAAAACGCGCCTCAATAACTCAAGTGTAGCTCACATCTGCATACTGTCAGCTGACAAGCATTGTATACGACATTCCATACTTTGGAATGATAAATACACTCGAGACGAGAACTCGCTTATCAGGACAAAAAACAATGGGGCTAGAACAAAACTCGAAAACAAAAGAAGAAAACGAAGAAAAATTAATTATAGACTTTTCAAGGAAACTTGGCCGAGGCCAAGAAGGACAGCAGATGCGCACTACCTCTAGGTGTCACTTTTTATTCGATCCGTAGATGTGCAGTCAGCGACGACTCCGTTGAGCCACGGTGACCGATTTTCGTAATGGCGTACGTTGAAGATGTCGTTTAATTCAATACATGTAGCTTGTTTCCTCAAGCGAACTTGAAGAAGGCTTTAGCCTGACTTCCTACTGCCACATTGCTATCATGTGACCAAAGAAAACTCACAATACTGAAGACGGGTTCCAAAGCGCACGATGATATTGCAAATCACGAAACAGCAATGGTCTACTGAATTCCTTGAGATTCATAATACACATCTAATATTTGTGAAACTTATTTTACAAGGTGTATAGTTCTACCCATAAGATTACCTATCGGTAAAAGGGTCGGTCTGAAACCCTTGAGTCACAAATATTCAAGTCTCTCCTTAGCATCCTATTACGAGCATAGAGGCGATCAAGCTCGTCTTCTGCATGAGTAATATCCCGACTAACCTCCCATATTTGGTGCAAATACGGGATCGAACATCATTAAGTTCAGCAGCATCATTAAAAAAAAAGTTGGGTCCTCTAGTCTGACATGATCCCTTATATCCCGCAACTTTTGTGTGTGTTTCGGATCTCGAACCATAATTGCCAAGCTAACAGCATCCTCCAACATGATATCTAAGAGCTGGATTGGCAGTTCCTTATCATCGTGGATATCGCAATGTCTAATCTGTGCGACAACGTTGAGCAGCGATAAGAAAGTGGAGGTCCTTTGGTTTCCGAGTAAAATCAAGGTGCTCATAGATATCTCCCATTGAACAACATTGCGGTAAAACAAGTGGAGTTGCGCCCTCGAGCGCCGCAACCATTTCATTTCTCGTAGTCTTGTTGGGTGATGCCTGGCACACCACTCGTAACAGGCGGTGGTTAGAGCTTCGTTGGCTTCTTTGAGGATTATACATTGGGTTTCTGGGTCGCAGATCTTGGTATCAGGTTGGCTCATTAATCTCTCGTAGGCCGTTGGTAACCACCAAGATCGTGGGAAGGTAGATTTGGAATGAATTTCTTCCCTGCTAGATGCAAATAATTTTGTCAGATACTGCCCATGTTCTATTATATAATTCTATAAAGGAGTTACCTTCGGATCGAGCCCTTTTTGAACGAAGTTGCCCAAAATCAGGTTCGCTATTTCTGCGACATCTCTTGAATGATTTTTTGATGACCGGAGAGATAGAGATTTCAAATTTTTGAGTATTATTTTGTACCTCGTCACTTATCTGTCGATTGCTACCGAGCACTTCATCCTTATCTCTGCAGGAGTTCGAAGCACTTAAAATCTGGTCTGTATCAGCAGTTCCTTCCAAATTATGACTATATGCCTTGCACTTTTGCTCCTGAACACTCTGGACATCAAACAGTTCCCCTGCATCAGTTGCCGCGTTCTCTGTACCTCCACGGCAGGATTTATCGATTTCATGCGGAGGTTGAAATGCAACAACTGCACCGTCAGTCTTGATGAACCTATTGGTAGAAATATTTCCATTTCTTTCGTTCGTGGTTCTACTTTCTTGCGGCGAACCACTATCTCCATCTTTGCTTTCACAGGTTGTTGTGCCCTCAATTCAATTAGTACAAAATACAACATACGCCGGGATACATACAAATTCCAATGCAAAATTAAATTTTTCAAGCGGAGCATTTGTTATCGTCTTTACGGGATGAATACTGGAAGGAATATGACGAAGTTGTTTTCTGGCGGTTGAATCGGGCTTCAGCCATCAATCTTTCAATATTTCTGCTACCTTTTCTGAGATTTTCTTCGGATTCAAGCCATCGAGATATGCAGATTTTGCTTCAAAATTTTCGTCCACAATCTGTCGGATTTGCTTCTGTGTGGGGTAGGTGGTGTCGTCGCCTGTAAAGACAGACTGTGTCATATTTAAATATCATCGAGATTTCGATTGGGGATTTATGACAAAATTAGAATACATGTGATGCTATAAACAGCAGCAAATTTCATTGTGTGTAAGGAATGAAATACATAGGCGAGGCTTTCTATTTGCAATTTTTGCTCTGAATGGTGTTGCTCACTAGTACAGTAGGCTATGTGAAATAATCTGAAATTGATCAGATAATAGTGAATCAAGGTGCGATACTGTTAGAGAATAGCAATTCATTCCATTTATGTATATCACATCTTCTTATTGAAGGGCCCTAAAATGTTTCTAGAACACCTTTTTGCGCCTTCTATTAGATTGACAATCAGTTCGAGAATTCAATGGTGATAATCAAATCAAATCGTGGTCCAGTAATAGCAGTGAACGCATTCAGAACATTAGAGAAAATGGTGTTATCGAAAGCCAACGGAAACCAAAATGTAAGTCGCAAAATATTCCCTTCATCTGGAGTGATACTTATTAGGGTCATCAAGATAGTATTTCTTCAGCGTAGATCAGGTGTGTAAGGCTATCGAATGATTGAATTGAAGTGGAGACAACATGGATGATTGACAGCGCTCGCTCGCTTATTTGCCAAGCCGATTAGCATCAACTGGATACAATCCATTCACGAATATTGGGGGTGTAGTATGTCCTCTAGACACTTTGAAAGTGGGATAAAATACTCAGAGAAGTATAAGATTAAAGGAGTGACAACAAAGCAATAGCGAGCGTCACTTCGTATGTCTGTCAATTGCCATGTGCCAAGAGTTTGGCCAAAATAGACAAGTGACAGATATTTCTAAATGAGATCTCAACCATTAACATACTCACTAAAATCAAAAGGCATTAATGATAAAAGAATATAAATTCTTCAAACTATGAAGTCTCGCGTTGAAGCACCAAATGCACACCAGTGCTCTCACTAAGTTCCGCCACATCTTTAGTCATTTTTCCTAATCTTGATCAACATCCCCGATATCATCTAAGAATTTGGAAATTTTGTCTCCATTACCTAAGCGATATATTAGCAGATGACTTGCTGAACGTATGAATGGAAGTAAGGATTAAACTGACATGACATATAGTAATCCCAAGCCTGCACAATATCCAATGTGGCTTCCACATCAGCCTCATTGATATCGAAACAACTCTCGTCAAGATAACTACGCAAAATGCTATTTACTTCTTCTGCCGCAAAATTCTTAAAGGTAAGTAGACGTCTGTATTCCTCGGCTACTCTGCATCCTTCTCTGTAGCCGAGTTACTTTTGTTCTTGTGTAATTCGTTCGATCAAAGCCCCACTCAAGAGCGAGCTTTGTGTATTCCCACTGAGCATCGTCGTAAAGTACCTTCATTAATTTGATCACTCTGGGAGGGTATGTTGCGGGCCCCTTTATATCTTCGGCCGCAGAAGGGTGATCGCTCCAGACTGTGTTGACAAAGTCAAGGTGTCGGAGCTCTGCAACGAATGGACGAATAGAGTCATCAAGTTGATCTGCAAAATATTGGTATCAGCAATTTTCATGACAGATCGGGCAGCAAATAATCTTGATTACAAATTTCAAGCTTGGCAATCCTTGCCCCAAATCGTAGAACATCTAATGTCGCATATACATCTTTCTCGTTGATTCGTTGTTCCATAGATGTATATCTTAATCCACCCATCGTTTTTTTTTCAGGTATATCGATTCTGTATGCAAAAGCAGATCCTTACCAATCCTTAACAACTCTGGGGCATTAGGTGTGGTTAAGTATAAATTGAAGATATTTCCAGAGTCAACGACGAAGGTGAGGATTTTCTTTGTAAACCGCCAGTTATCTCCAAAGAGAAATCGGGCAACCTCGATGTAGTCTTTTCGGGCTGTTCTCACTTTTTGTTCGTCGTCTACTGTGAAGGTCACGGGATCGGCTTGTTTTCAACATCAGCTCAAGGTTCTATAAGGTGGTGTTTGAAACTTACATTGTCGAGGAGGAACACTTGCGCCATGGTTGTTAGAGATCATCATTTGAAGGTGCTTAAATCGTGATTTGTGATCTGTTTTCGAGGAAATATGTGTCGAAGTATTAATATGTTTTGAGGATAAATCATGAAAGGTCCCTTCTAAAAAGATGCTACGAAATCTATCAGAAGTGGTTGTACGAAGTCAAAATGTCGTGAAGATCTTGTCCCTGAATATTCAAAGAAAAGGAGGCTTTTTATGTGCACGTCAGACCTGGATATGGAGATTACTCAGTCTCAAGAAAGGCTTCGAAATCGAACGATATGACTCATTGAGTCGAGTAGAATGACTCGATTCGAGGGAGTGAATTACAGCTTCTTCATTGTGATAGAGTTGTGATCTAACTATGATATAGTATCATATTATTATGATCATTCATATGCTAGGTATTATCAAAATATAGTCAAAAAAGGGAGCAACAAGTGAGAACTGTTATTTACCCAAAGGAATATCAGTATAGTTTTACAAATACTGATTCAAAAAGTTCTATAATTGACGTAATCATCAAGCGCTATAGTACTGTATATCACATCATACTTTTCTATAATTTTGATATGACCGTCATATAAAAATAGAACCTTACGTTTTGAACGAAATACAACCTAGGATCCGCAAAGTTCTCCAGATTCATGAGCACCTGCTCTGAATTGCCAGTAAAAAAGAAGATATTACTTTGAAAATGACACAAGGAGAGCGCGTAAGAGCTATATTACTCCAATCGTGGTATGGAATGGCTATGAAAAGAAGTCACTTGAGCAACCGGCCAGATCATGCCACTTGATGACCATGTACATGGCACTAATTACAATCATAGCTTCGAGCACCACATTCAATTAATCAAACACGAGCAGAATAATACCGAGACTAAGAAGCAGAGCTCAGGGAATATTAATGAAAACCATACAAGAACATTTTCCCCAAAACAATGCGTTAAAGGAAAAACGGTACGCTGACACGAAAATACAATCAACCTTTACTCCGCCATTAATTGGCAACCGCAATACCATCTATATGCAACTTCATCTAAATGCAATCCGCAAGCCCCAACTCAAGACGGAAACCCTAGACACCATAAAATGCAAACCCATCCAAACCACCCCCAATTACTCCTCTCCAACTCCTACAGGCAAAACCCCAACATTCCCAATCGCTTGCGGATCTAAACCACACACTCGTTAGAAATTTCTCCTCAAAAACATCATCCGCACCATTATTCCCAGCCCAAAAACGAAAATAAGCAAACGAAAGAAAAAAACTCACTCCAAAAAACAAACCCCCTATCCACCTCCGTCTTAATCCCCAACAACCGATCATACGTCCCATTCCCATAATACCATTCCGCCGCCTCCTCCGCCCCCAAATCCGGATCCACATAATTGACATACCCCGAGAAATTCCCGCTCGGTTGCGCATCCACAACCGCATTCGTCATCCCCTCAATCACATCCGTGATGCGATCATCCCACAGGGGGAGATGATTGGGTGTATATCCATAGTTCTGGAATACCCACAACGCATCCATATCTGCATGACTCGAAGACGATATCTCTCCGCTATCGATGGCGGAGCCCGGGGCGCCGTAGAGATTGATGGTGGAGAAGTAGGGGATGGATGGGGATTGATGAGAGAGGATATATGAGAAAAATGCGAGGACTGCTTCGGGGGTGAGAGGCCTATCATTCTTGGTAACGAGGGATTTGACATAGAAAGTATCGTGTAAATCATAGTTTAAGAGAGGTTGAGCGAGCGGATCGGGTGCGGCAAGCGTAGCGAGTGTATCGATCCAGGACAAATTCGTTATATTCCTCGAATCGATATCGAAACCTGACACGAGTTCAGGGAAAACTACATCTCGGAAATGGGCAAGATCGCAAAAGGTACACATTCCTGTGATGGCCAGACCGCCTGCACTATTGACATTAAATCCAAATGATATATATTCGGTGTAAGTAGCGGACTCTTCAGAACAAAATCTTGAGTTTTCAAAAACGCGGTAGAAACTTTTTCGGCGCTGGAAAGCGTGGATGAGAGATTCGCGGTGAAATATGTGACTTCTGCCGGTGCAGCAAGTGTTTGCATATAAAAATGTGTGACGATGCCAAAAGCATCAGCGGCACCTCGTAACGCGTACCAGAGATCGGGATTTTCAGTTTCGCTTGTGTGAGCAAATGTGCCGTTGGCGAGGACGACGTCGAGTCCGACGATGGTGTCGAGTGCTAGGCCCCAGAGACGGGAATCGTAACCATAGCCTCCATGGGTTGCGTGACCGCCTGATTGCTGGATTAGAATGGGTTCGTGAAAATCTTTTAGTCCTAGCTTGAGTATCTTTCTTACCTATTCCAACACCAGCACATGTTCCATGCGGTAAAGCTCTACCGCCTTGCGCATGAATCCCCAGCGCCACATTACCCAGTCTTTGTCCCGCGCCTATCTTCGCAATATACGTTTCTACACCCCACACATCAGAACCTCATCCCTCCCTCATAAAAGGTATCAACAGAAACTCACCCCTATCCACGAAAATCTCATCAAACCCACTCATATCCACCACTACACTCCCATTCCTCCCGCCCATACTGTAACTCGCATAACTATGTCCCCCACCCCTCGGCTGAACCTTCAACCCCGCCCTCGCTGCACAAACCACACTATTCGCCACCTGTTCCTGCGCCTTCGGGAGCGTAACCGCCGTAGGTGTGTACTGCAGACGTAGATTGAAAGGAGTAGTCAGATTGGCCCAGTTCGGAGAAGTAGCATTCGAATAGGGCACGAAGCGCGCTTGAAGACATTCTTGCAGGTGGGAGGCGTGTGATTCGGGATTGGAGGGGGGAGTTTGAGAGAAGGAGCTGCGGGTAAAGGTGCTGAGAATAAGCGAGGTAAGGGGGAGTCGCAGATACATTGTGATTGGCGATTTTTTTGGAGGCTATTGTGAAATCGATAGGCTGGGAAGGAAGTGCGGGACTTGGAGGGGAATGCTCATTCTATAGTTGCATTGTTTTTCATAATTGCTTCCACTTCATTCCTAGCGGTGGCAATCTTTCGTTTGCGCAAATTCATAGGCCTAATCCGGAATGATTTCGATGCCAAATTACCCGAAACGAAGATTTCCAGCCTCACTTAACAAAAAAACTCCCTAAACCCGAAAACATGTCGAAATAACTATCCAAGAAATGGGGAATGACAAAAAGCAGAATAAATTGGTTGAAAAAAGGTTTATAATTTATAACAAATATCTGATCCGGTATACAAATGTAATGGTCATCTATACCTTCGCGCCACCAAAGACAGCTCCCAAACGCCGTTCTCATCTTATCATACGTTGAAGTATTAATTGTAAGACTGAGATATAATATTATACAATCGCTTTAGCCATACCCGTCGCTTCATCAGTCAATATCGTTACACCTTTTCTCTTCTTGAGAACATTCTCTATGAATGCCTCACCAGCTTTGTATGAACTTCTCACTAGAGGTCCACTGGCACAATACAGGAAACCAAGATCTAATGCGCGTTGACGCCACATCTCGAAAGCTTCGGGTGTAATATATTCCTCTACTTTCATGTGACGCTTGGTTGGACGCATATATTGACCGAAAGTAACGACATCAACATTGACTTCTCGAAGATCTAATCATAAACTATTAGCAATGCATCCTGTGGAAGACGGACATGCATATCATACCTCTCAATGTTTGCCACAAAGCTTCTTCAGTTTCTCCCAACCCAAGCATAATACTTGTCTTCGTAATTAACGAAGGCTTAGCCTTCTTCGCTGCATCTAAAACCTTCAAACTTTGTCTATATTTCGCTCTTCGATCTCGAACAAACGGTGTAAGTTCCTCAGTCGTCTCCATGTTATGCGCATAAACATCCAAACCACTCTCCGCAACCAATTTCACCATTTCCAAATCTCCCGCATAATCACCCGTCAAAGCCTCAACCAATATCGACGACTTCTTCTGCTTAATCTTCATAATAGTCTCTGCGAAATGTCTAGCTCCTCCATCTGCAAGATCATCTCGATCCACAGATGTCAAAACGACATATCCCAGTCCCCATCTCGACAATGCCTCAGCAGTATGTTCAGGTTCGTGAGGATCCAATGGCGCTGGCGTTTTCGCAGTTTTAACACTACAGAACCGACATCCTCTCGTGCAAGTATCTCCCATCAACATAATCGTCGCAGTCGCAGCACTCTTATCACCACCGCCCCAACAGTCCGAAATATTCGGACATCTTGCTTCCTCGCACACAGTATGTAAATTCAAACCTCGCAAATCTTTCTTAATCTTCTTGTAATTCGAATTATCGGGGATGGGCGTCTTCAACCATTCAGGTAATCTGGTGATTTGTCTCTTCTTCCCTAGTGGCCCAACCATCGCAGTCCGCAATTCGAGTGCATCACCGGCGGTTAAAGGTTTCTCTGGCAAGCCCACGAACTCGGAAAACGATGGAGCGGCATTGATCTTGTCTTTGAAGTATGTAGGACGTCTTTTCGTGAGAGGTTCTGGCTTGGATGCGTCTGTCTCAGTGGCGAAGGAGCGTGTAGCTGTGGTGGGAATTGCAAGGATATTTCTTGAGGCCTGTCTCAACGGAGGTGCATTTAAGCATCTGAATCTAGGTACCATCGATGCCATCTTGTATATCCCGACTTGATATGCTGATGATAAGAATGTTCACCGTTGAAATGTTGAGAATTATTTTCTGATAAGGATGCTTGCAAATCGATGTTGCTTACGTAATTCACAAGACCGCTGTTATCCGATTTCATGAATCACAGCTGTGTAATGTTGACATCAAATATTTAGTTGAACGACATTTTAAATCAGTATTCGACTATGAGATGGCTTGATAGATATAATTCGATTGTGCAACTACACATCGGAGGGTTCAGTTGTTGAAACCGCAAGACTCCTGAATATTTAGTAGTAATAAACACCTCCCAGTGATCCTTTATTCACCCCGCCATAAAAATCACTGGGAGTAAATATCCCTGTCACAGCAACCATCGTGTCTTCCAGCGCAAACATCGACAACCTCATTCTACTGCACATCAAGCGCACAAACTCTCGAAACCCCAGAATCCCAGCTTTATTTTCAACTATTCCACTCACAGCATCTTCGAAAATGAATTCGCAAAACTCTGCCGTTCTTCTTTCCTCTTCCGTAGCTTCTCTACGAGCATCCTTAAGTACCCTAGATAACAGTATTTCCATCCTCGATTCCGGTATATCTGATTTTCCCCGTTTGAAATCCGTTTTGAGTACCACAAGAGTATGTCTCCCATCCACTATCCTCATCATTCATACTCCCAATCTCCACCCCCAACAGAAATAAACCCCAACTAACACTCCCCACCCAGCACTTCGAGCTCACCCCCTCCACGACCCTGCACGCCGCCCAACGATCCCTCGCCGAAGAACTCGAGCCCGCCATCGAAACCCTCCTTTCCCGCTCCGAATCCCTGATCTCCCGTCTCCAGCGTAAAGAAGAGCAACTCATCGCACGCTCCCAGCTTCTCTCTGGCCGTCTCGAGTCCTCCGATTCGATGTCCAATCCCACCTCCAAAGCCAGCAAACTAAGTCGCAAGAAGAGTTGGGAAATCGGGCTGAATAAAGGGAATAGAAGTCCGTTTGGGAATGGAGGAGGGAATGAAGAGAAAGCGATGAGGTTGAAGGTTTTAAGACAGAAGAAGGAGAGATTGGGGTATGCGGTGGAGAGATTGGGATTGCAGAGTCAGCAGCGACAGAGACAGTTGAGGATGAGTGTTGCGCCGCCGTCGTTTGATGATGAGTGATTTGCAGAGATTGTGGATGAGTAGATGTAGAAAAGGGATGGACGAGCCCACAGTTGATCGCACACTTGCCACTACGCTGCACGACACAGGCCAAGACTTGGATATCCATTTGGTTTGGGCTGTTAGTCCGGTTGAATCTATCGATATATCTGATCGCTGTCTTTTGCCATAACTTGGTGGAAAGATCATAGTGAGATCCAAGCCAAGGTCGTCATGGCGATTCAATCCGAGCCACCATAGGGGCCAGATACGAGAGTGTAGATTATGAGGGGTCCAGTACTTCTCAGAAGAATAGTTTCAGGCGCCAAAGTGATACGTCCAGCCCAGTGGTTTATACACTATTTATGATGATGATGATGATGGTGATGGAATGCGGATATACCCAGAGTGTTGTGTATAGCAATGGAGATGGAATTTTTTTAGCGAAAAGTCATTAGGTCACTTTTCACTGGCACTTGAGTCCTGAACAAACGGTTGCATTGGAAATTACTAGGAGCATATAGATAGTGAAAATAGCTTCCCAAGTCTAGCTCCACTGAAGATGTTTATGAATGTATAAATGAATTGGTATCAAAAAACCTATGGTATCATGTTTCGTCCCCTCAAACTTTCAATTCCCTTCCAAAACTGTCCCCCTCACTACATCCGGCCTCTCGCCCTCGACACCGCAACTCACAAGCCCTACTTCCCCTAGCCCCAAATCATCCAACCCCTTGAATCCCTCCTCGACAAGCCACTTCCTCCCCTCCTTACTAGAGTTTTGATTGAACAAAACCTCGCATGCAGCTCCAAGTACCAATAATCCAGGCGGTCTACTGCCCACTTCTTCAATGGCATCTATGACCCATTCTAAAGATGTTCTTACAACTCTTTGATCAGGACATGACGCTCTTTCTATTACAGCGCATGGTGTGCTCAGTGGCCATAACTTCCTACTTTGATCAACATTTCCATTCTCATCGACTACTTTTGCGTCTTCGGAATCGTGGGTGGTAAGATCAGCCACTAATCCCTTGATTCTATGAAGAGCCATCAAAAAGACCACAGTTTGGGTCGCCACATATTGCGGCGGCACGGTAGGTTTTCCCTTCCGACCAGTCCCAGTACATATAAGCACTTGATCACTAACACTTCTTTGTGTCGCCGGTATTCCAGCAAAAAGTGGCGCACTCAACGCACTTGTGATGCCAGGCAAAACCACAACTCGATCTCCATATCCCTGCTTTCGGAAAAATTCAAACTCTTCTCCTCCTCTTCCATATATATAGGGGTCACCTTGTTTCAATCGCAAAACGGTTTTGCCAGCCTGAAGGCCAGCTAACCCGAGAGACAATAATTCCTCTTGTGCTAGTTCTGCGTTGCCAGGGAATTTGCGCGCAATGTGGATAGGTGTTCGACGGGGGATTAGGTCGAGAACTCCCGAGGGAACAAGTTTATCGGCGAGGATTATATCGGCAGAAAGAATAGCTTTGTGGGTTGCGCGAGTGAGAAGATCAGGATGGCCAGGTCCAGAGCCGGCCAGGATTATTTGTGGGAGTTTTGAGACGCGGGAATCGAGGGTTGATGTGTCAAGAGGAGCTGAAGTTGATGGGTTGGTGGCGTAAGATTTCAAGACACTGTCGACGTCGGAATCGGTTATTGATGCAAGTCGACGAAGGGGCCAGTATTCACATATTTGAGAAAGCCATCTCATTCGTCTATTTTTGGCAGCATCGAGATCCGCTTCCGTGATAAGTTTGTTGAAACTAGAACTTTGATCCGTTTCTTCCTCGTTATCCAAGTCCCCGGCTGCAGTGAGATGTGCTAAGTGATCTTCTTCCTGTATACGTCTGCGAATTGTACCGAGTCGTACACATGAATCTCCTAGATTTTTAGGAAGCGAGGAGGCTATTTCGCGACGAATTCGAGAAGAGAGTTTACAGCCTCTACCATTGGTTGTTACACCGATTTGAAGTGGTCCATCGGTGTATGTGGAAAGGAGGGAGAATGTGCAGAGATTCGATGCATCTGCTACATTGACTGGTATGCGATTGCGTTTACAAAGTTGTGAAATATGAGCACCTAGACGAATTAGCTCAATGGTCTCACAGAATAAATAACTATACTTACTCAATGGATCTCTAGGTCCAGAGGTAACAAATACTGCATCGACTACTCTCCCAATCTCTTCTCTCCCTAGATTCATAAGATCATCGTCTTCAAATGACTTCTTCAGCCATTGTACTTCCCCATTTTCAATCCGCTTCTGTAACGTATAATGTAACTCGGAGGATTCAGGCGCAATGAGAATTGGGTTTGCCCCTACTTCAATAGATTTCGTACATCTGGCACCGGCTAATGGATTGCATCCAACTACGAGATGAATATGAGATGTTGCATCAATAGCTGTAAGAAGGGATATTGGAGTCATGATGCAACTGTGAACTCCTATCTGATAAAACAGTGTGGGATATGATGAATTATGACAAGAGATCCAAGGGAATAATCTTATCAGATAGATATGATCAAAGGAATGAAGTGTTGATTAGATATGAGAAGGATGAATACATAGATGTATGATATAAATGTGAAATATAACTAACATTCAATGGTAATGGAGAGAGAGAGAGAAAAGACTGAACGCAAAGAACGAACCATCTCCTTACCAATTCCGTCGTCTTGTCGGTGTTTGATTGTATCTTGGGCGACTTTTTGGCTCAGTAACTGTTATTAAGGTTATCGTGAAATAACGCCATCGATAAGAAATTTCACATTGGCCCCTCCATGCGGGATGATGGGGGAGACTAAACTATGAACAGATGTTTCTGGTGCCGCTTTCAAGGGGGATGCTAGAGATTATGATATCTAGATTCTAGATCCCTCGATAGGTATATTGTTGGAGGTCATTATAAGCTCCTAGATTAGTCCCATGTAATTTTGACACCAGTGGAAGACAGAATCCAAGGTGAAGAGATCCCTACTTTCACTCATGTATCCTTTTCGTTCAATTTCATAGAATATTTACCATATTCATGAAACTAAAACACAACATTGCTCGCAAAAATGGATATCAGTTATATATACTTAAAGCAGCAGCCTCCGACGTCGCGCCCCCTTTTTATGGATTGGTGATCCATTCCAACATCATCATATCCAATCATTGCCCTTCAATTAAACATACCTCATTACCCCGCGGACATCCGGAAATGTGTAATTCACCTCGTTTTGTATTGTCAACTGACATTTTTGGAAGAGAGCTATAGATAGCAGATAGTTCTCCTGTTTATATCGAGTAAGTTTGAATTCTTGGTGTCGAAGTCTACACGCGTGAAGAATTCGTGGCAGATGTCTGATCCCTTACGCACGTTATTGTCAGGCGTTTACATTCATGGAAGCTTGTCTATCGTGCCCCATTAGGTGGAAAACATCCACATTGTGAACTCGGAACTACCAGCCAGATGGATACATAGCTGTATACAAAAATTGGCAGCCCCCTTGTTAGCGGTTCTGCGACAAAATTGATATAAGTGTATATCAACCTTACACTGGAGGGAAAGTTTCGTTAATAATGCGACCTTAACTGTGATTTTAGGCTTAGTAGCTTGCAAGCTGACAAATTGTTCAAACAAGCGACTGAATGATCTCAAACTTTATATGTTGATTCCCCCTTTCATACTAGTAGCTGCCATGCCCCCTTTCCCCCTTCTTTTCTTCTAGGCGGAAGCTTTGGATTGTCGATGATGAGAGTGTTATTTTCAACTCTTGAATGATTATAGAATCTCAATGATTACCACACCAGCGAAGCAGTCGGGCGGATATCCTGCTGATCACACCGACAGAGTAGAGGGGCTTCGTACATTAGATGACATGGACGTGGTATATATTTTCCTCATCTTGTGTCAATACGGCTCTGTGTTACCCTTCAATATCTTCAATATTGAAATATTCTTCACCATCATTTGCATACGAAGAATCCAACCAGTGTGCATCTACTCATATCATTCATTCTTGGTACTTACCATAACTTTTATTCTTGTTCATCTGAAGGACAAAAAATAGGCCACATTTGGGCATCTCAGTCTCGGCTATAGAGAATCTCCCAACAATCGAATCAAAACTCGAATTTAACAAGATCAAATGAGAGACTTGGTTGTTTTCACTTGGGATGATATTCCAGACACAATCTCGTATACACCAAAGAGCGTAATCAGATCATTGAAAGGCTTCGCTAGTGTTCAATTGTGGCCTGATTTTCCTCCACCGAAACGCCCGCCTATTTGAATTTACCAGCACGCTGGACGAGTATATTGCCAAGCTACATATATTCCAAGGTAGTCGTGTCCTTAGTAGTTATTGATCTGCAAATATTCCATTGATGCTACCGCGTCAAAGGCATAACATGCCACGACTGAAATTTCGTGAAACCGCCTGACATCTGCTATTTCCTATTAAGATCTTCAAAGTAATCTTCATCATCGGAAAATACCGAGCAATTTACCATATCGTGTTGTCCTTCAAACGCTTGTTACCTTGCTGTGGCAGTTTTGTCAGCTTCGCAGTGCCCACGACTCAACACCGTCGGTTCCCCTTCACTTGACAGACTGGCCAGCGGTGTTTGCGCTCCACTTGAAGATTCTGGTGCTGTGGCAAATGCTTGCAACTGTCTTACTGCCACCAATGCTCCGGGTGCTTGCGGTTCTGGATGTACAGATTCACATGGAATTGGTCCAGGATATGCACTATACACACCATTATCTAGTATCCTCGGAAGCGTAACAAAGCTTGCAAGGGAATCAGTATGCCCAGGAACTACAGGATATTATTGTCCCACGGGTCGAACTTGTAAGACAAGGACTGGGTCTGCACCTTATTGTTGCAATGATAGTACGTTTTTTAATGATCACTACTCACAGATTCAAGCTAACATTTCAAAACTACGGACTGCTACAATTCGCTTGGAAAATGTGCAGATACGTCATGGCAACAATACAGAGTCACAGTCGGTGCTAGTTCTAGCAATTTCTGCTGCGGAAATGGAACATTCGGTGTATACCAAAGCTCAGGTCAAAACAGTGTTGGAATCTGTGCAACGGCTCGTCTTTCACTTTGTACCTCCGTCACTGCTGTCTCATCGGGAAGTTGTTCCTACAGCACCTCCGGTACTGTTCTCTCGATTACTCTTTCTTCAACTACAAGTACGAGATCAAGTTCCTTAAGTTCGCCAATATCGACACTTGTACCAGACACTCAAATCACTTTTACCAGGTCCAGATCTACTTCTACCCCAACCTCAGTACGGACATCTGCTAGCTCCGGTTCGACAACTCAATCGCTTGTCTCACCAATATCAACAGTCTCCTCTAGTACTTCGATATCGATATCGACTCCCACGACGCAAATAATTCAATCGCCTACCTCTTCTCTGTCAACGGTCTCATCCAGTATTTCGTCAAGTGTAATTTCGACTTCCACTTCTGCCTCAGCCGATTCGTCTTCGAGCTCATTAAATTTCCCTACAACTTCGCCTTCCTCATCCGTTGCCAATCAAAATACTCCTTCAGTTTCACAATCTCGTACTTCGATAACATCTTTCTCGTCTTCCATATCCTCACTGAGCATCTCACAATCCCAATCTCCACCCACTGATTCTACCACCTCCTCTTCGCAATCTTCCTCTAGTATAAGCGATTTCATATCTTCATCATTTATCGGACCAGTAACGGCACAATCTTCGATATTGACCAAAGCGGAATCGACTAATAGTACATCGACATCTGCATCGGTTGAAACTCCTACAATACCATATAATGCTATTTTATATTTGTTTAGTTGAGTTATACCTACTTCGCGCGAGCTTTAATTTCCTTATTTGGAGGATGCTAAAGGGGCTTTCATTGAATGGACATGGTCATTGGCGAGCAAAGGAGTGGATGTGATTGGAAAAGGAAAGTGGTTTAGCTTCTTGAGGGAATGGAGTCTGTTGCGATTGTCTGTCGTTACTTGCGAAAGTGTCCTTTTCTTAGTTTTTGTGGGATATTTTGAGATTTATGATGGAGGGCTTATATGTATACATAATCTTATTTATTTCAACAAAAGTCAAGCCTTAGGTTCACAAATCAAATGGTATTGTTACTGTTCTCCTTTAACGGATTTATACTGAATTATTTAATGAATACTTGATTAATTTTCAACCCGCATAGTATCTGTATTTGAAATAGTATTACGCTGTAAAACTGGCGTTGCTATATTGTAGATGCGATAATCAGGCTAAGTTTGCGTTAGTCTTAGTATCGTGGTTTCTTCTTTTGTCTGATGTTTCTGTTGGGGCTGCAATTGCCTTTATGGAATGAGATACTAAAGTTAAGAGAACACCAAGTCTCATACATTATTAGATTAATAACGAATGTTTGAACTGCCCTCAGACTATAACTAGTAAAGAACTGCTCCTTGGTACGGTTGACAATATGTATGAGGATTTTCAATGTCTTCTCTGGGTTTGATTCGAATACCCACATTTTCAATGAGGTCTTTGATATATCACACTCAGCCAAAGACCATCTCTCAAATATAGACGTTTCCAATGTTGCCAAGGCTTGAAAATTTTTTCAATGTTTGATGAAAGAATCTGAATTACCCCGAGCACGAGTACGGCTAATCACTGATTTGGATTCACTTTTGGATAAGAGATGTCATATCCATGGTGTGAACATCACCCGGCAATCAAGCGACACCCTCACTGGAATACGTGAAAGCTTGACCTCGAGGGGCTTTATCCTTCAATATTCACAATTCAACTGTCTACTGTGGGCAAGCTGAACTCAGTCAACAACCTTTCAAGAACAGACAAATAAAATTTTGTAGAATGAGTTCCTTCCCACAGCACCAAAGTTCACACCGAAAAAGCCTCACAATGACGTTAGTCCACCCATCACCAAACCCCTCGGGCTCCCCTATCAAAACCCTACTAACATCTCCACCCCACAGAACCCCCTCCTACGATCCCCGAACCGACGCCCTCGACGCCTGGTCACTCCAATCCAACGCCTTCCCCAGAATCCCATCCGATCCCAGCTATCCCGACTTCCTCGATCCAAATATCATCCAAATCCCCGACCCTCCCATCTTCAACCCGCAGCCCTATTCGCGCCATCCCGTCCTCTCTATCGGAATCCGCTACGCAGAATGGGAGAAGCAGATGAAAGAAAAATTAAAAGCGTATAGTGGCGCACGTTTTGAGATTTGCATGGCGTATGTGTTGTCGAGACTAGGGGAAAAGCCGAGAGCGTATTTGGAAGTGAGGATGAGTGTTCATGAGAGGTTTAGATTTAACGATACTAAGGAGGTGTTTGAGGTGTTGAGGAAGGTTTATGGAGGGGTGAAGGAGAGGGTTATTGAGGGGGTGGTGTATGTAGGTGGAAGTGATGATTAGGGGATTGTGGGATGGAGGGAGAGGGCTTAGACTGTTGTTGTGCGGTTTGAGGAATGGTGATTGGGAGGAGTTGGTGGAGTTTTCTGGCTCTAAGTATACGCATGATTCAATGGCGAGTCAACGCCCTTGCCGCACAGGAATCAAATGGTGTCATTGAGATGTTAGCTGCAGTCTGTCGATTGAGATTCACGAGATGAATTTTTCGGGATTAACATAGGCTAGTCGATGATAATGGGTTCATGATTGGGAAGACTGAATACGGAGACATAACATATTGAGTTCTATGCCCGTCACTTTACGAGTACAGGTACATGCCAAGAACTTCAATGTAATTCTCATATTTCAGGGCGTTGAGAAAGAAATTCTGAGCTTCCGGTATATTAAGATTGATGAAAAGAAAAAATCGAAAGCAAAAACTTCCAATCAGGCACTTGATGTTGTGAAATGAGACCTGAAAATGACGAACTAAGAATGGACTTTTTGGCACTACGTAGATAGAATGGCTGCGTAGGCAAGACCATCCATTTTGCATGCCATGTAGAATTCAACCTATCATCTAGCAATCATTCATCTCTAAGACAACCTTCATAGGACCACGAAGGATCTTCACCACCCATAGACATATGCACATTTTACATGACCGTTATGACGACTGGCTCCCAAGAGGATTTTTTTCTGATCCTTCTTTTACGTGTAGGAAAAATTATTCAAAGAAGCAAACTTTCATTATTGATCCAAATATTCTCTAGGAACTTTGGATTAAACAACTGAATACAATCTAGTTAAACAAATCGCTTTATATATCAGGATATCTGATCGCTGGGGTATTGATTGAAATGTGGTTATGCCTCGAATTGATGGACTTTGCCGTATAAACCACCAAATGTGCCTATGATTCCCTAAAATATCAAAATTCAAAACTCCAATTACTCAAGATAGCTAGAAGCCTAGCTATGCCACACTACGCTGTTTTGAACATGAAATTCTATACATGCTCAAGAAATTGAAGACTCTCTAACCCGGACTGACGCCTTTGTTTTCTAGTATTACTCATTTAGAGCTAGTATCGATGACCAGTTCTGAAAGCTGCGGATTTGAACCGCTTTGAGTCGTTACTGGATTCAATAGCCTCTCTGCGCTCTCCACTCATCCAACTCTCTAAACGATCCATCTTTATCAAGCACCCACGAGCGGACACTGATACTGTGGGTTCGAGTACACGGCTCGCCGATGTCAAATTGATGAAGATGAAATCTGCATCGACTTTGATTTCCCGAGAACCATGCTTGGCGATGTAGATTTACATCCACAGCGATAAATTCATTTTTCAAAAGCTCATCACGATCAGCCTTCGTCAGAAGTTTCAAGTAATTGTTTGGGCGTGTTTCCTCGAGACGTATCCATAGAGAAGCAAAAAGACTGAAGCCACAACGTATAATTCGGTCGTTATATATCTTCTCAATTTGAGCTTTGGTGAATCCGATACCCACAGAAAGGTGTGCTTTTCTCATACAATCCATGATATTGTCGGCGAGAGGTTCCAGATTCAAGGCTGTGGCGAATTTGTACAGTGCTTCGGGGTCGTAACCGAAGTATGTAATGTGGCCCTGTTCCTCGTGGTAAACGCTGTTCAATTCTGGCAATATATCCCCGTGTAGCCATATTGTAAACGCCACGAATGATAAGAGGTCTATGTTCAAGGTGATAGGAAAGCTTTCACCTCGGAAGCGATGAACTTTACGGAAGAGAATTGCTTTGTTAACATGGATCTCTTGATTCTCTATGAGGAAAGAGACAGTTTCTGCGGGCCTGTACTCAATAAAATCTTGTTAGTAATAATTCCAGTTTACATCAGTCGATGCTCATGATTGAATAATTTGTAAAGTCTTCAATTGATTTTATTGAAGCGTGATGTATTGACGAAGAGCTAGACAATTGCATGTATCCAAGCGTGTAAAACATAAAATATATGGGGTGTGGAGAAAGAAATCATGACATACTTTTGTACACTCGAGCCTTTCACCTGTACGTCTTGTGTATTATCCGACATTGTGGAGCTTTCTCGCTTAAATGTTTGTATGTGAAGCGAAAATAGAAGATATAAAATGATATCCAATGTTGTTCAAGTCAATGAGATAATATCAAGATAGAGCCGAGAGATATTATATGTGATCTTTCGAAATCGAGTATACCGTAGTAGGTAGACGGTAATAGCGAAGGTAAATTATGGGTAAACCTGTAAGTTATTGGAGCGAATAGGTATTGGTGATTGAGTTGTCGAAAGGAGTAAATACGATTGTATTATGAGAGATGTAACGAAGGAAGAGATTGTTGTAGATTTGAGGAGAGAGAAGGGGAGGGGAATTCTTCACCTATATATACATTTTGAAAAGTTGTGTAGGAAACGCTAGATTCGTTTTTTTTTCTCTAGCCCCATCAACTATCTACGGTGGTGACAAGCTAGACTTATACTATTTATGATCTATAAAAATTCTGCAAGTTTCAACATTCGAATTCCTCGCGCTAAGTCTGATAAGATCGTTCCTGCAATCGAACTCAAGATTACGGTCAGTCCAAAAGCTTTCAAGTTTTTCCGACCTCACACCTAGCTTAAAGGGGTAACTTATTTTGTCATACATTTCCTTGAACTAAGTAGGTTACTTATCACTGCTCGTTATAGAAAGGGTTGGCTTGAAAAACTTGCAGATCTGGCGGTGATTATTACAAATGTGTCTATCTGTATACACCATGTACTCTAGACGAAGAGTATCTCTTAGACGGGAGAGATTATCTACCTAAGATGCAAATGTTTATTCATGCCTCTTTCTATGACGTTTAATAGACTGCGCTAAATGAAACAGTAATAATTTTAAGTCTTGTTGAAGTTGAAGGAAATCAGTCATGAAATCACTTTCTGGGTGTTAGAGGTTGAAAACATTTGCACTCCTCCCAGCTTCATACAATAGGAAACGATCTGACATCACAAATAATCACTGACTTTCAATTCTCGTGTATTAAAATACAGTTCTGCATAAGATTGTTTGTCGGTGTTGGCTTGATACTCGTGTGTGAGAAGCAATCTTGACTAGCTCATATTCCTCAATAGGTCGGCTGTCTACTTCCTATACCTCGATTTTCTGGAAGGTGACGTATTTGGAGAGATGCTGATATGTCTTAGACCGACTGAAATCCCAATTCGATTCCAAAGTCAAATTGAATAAGGAGAACACGGTGTATACAATAATTTAGTGTGAATGTCATCGCCAATGAACGAAGCTAAAGAGTTTCAGACAATGGTCGTAACTTGGCATCTTTAAGCGCGATGATGACAGCCAGGATGAAAGTTTATTTAGTCAAGACATCTACGTTTTCTGAGAAATAGTTAAGCTCCCCCGCATTTTCTTTTACTAGCGAATGACTACTGTATTTTGTGCTGAAGAGAAACCCGATCTGACGTACAATTTATAAATAACTCAAAATGTCAGCTGTTAATATGAAAGATGGCGTGATAGGACAGTAAACTTTATTCTGTCGTCTCTTGATACAATCTCTCAACTTAAACTATATGACGACACGGGGAAAATGAATTTGACACTGTGAAATATGAACTGAACATACCACAAGCAATAAACCATATCACAAGCAATAAACCATATCACAACTTCTCTATATCTTTATCTCATGATTCATGTATATTTTTCTCATGCGACTAAACTCGAAGTAGAATTATGGCATCTAAGAATTGATGTAAACAATCTTTACTACCTACTAAATGAGAGAACTCAGAGCATCAGAATTTGTGGGAAATTGGAAGCTGTTTCAAGAGCTCTAAAAAAGCTCTAAGAAAGCTCGCCAAATTTGTGACACGTTTGCCGAAGATGTAACCTACCTTTTCCATAAGAATGACATGGTAATGGAATTAAGGCTAATTTAACAATGTCTTTGACCAGGATAAATGAAAGAAATTCGAACTCAATTCATCAAAAGATCTTCGTGTAGGTGACGGTGATGGTATTAAGTGGTGGAAAGGCCTAAGAGAAATGATCTTCAGACTTAGCTCTGAACTAGCTGAACTTCAATTTTCTAGACCGAAGCTGAAGTTTGATTCTTTTTTGGAATTTAAAGCCACGTGGAAGAGAGGGAAATAGAGCCACTTTCCTGCAAGTATATTCAAATTCCTTAAGGTAGTCCTTGCCAAGATGCTTTGGGCCGCGTTGCAAATCATTTCTCCATGTCAGAGTCTGCACACTAATGGTATTGTATCGTATACACTTGGGCACAGAATCCATGTTATTTATTTTTCAATCTCATTAATCGCGAGATCCATTTGTAACTATTGATGGCATCATGTTCTCTTACCACCCGCTAATTACATCGCATCACATCTGCGTACAACAGCTTGATACACATCCTGCTTCGCTTTCGATATACTTCGAGAATCATTTATTGTTGCCCCAATATGTCGGTTCATTTATGTACAATTATACCCGATCCATCTTTATCTGATAGCTAGACCAGAATGGCTGTAATCTTCTTAAGTGTGGTTTAGGAACTACTAGGTTGAGCCTCGACTCAAGGCCTGAAATTCATTGATTGATCCCAAACTCCCAAAATATAAATACGAGCAACGAACTCTCAGATCTTGAGTCTTAGGATAAAGTTACACTATTCTTCCATCATACTTTTATGCATGTCCCTTGAACCCGGGTCTCGACCCAGTCCCAAACTGCACCTATTTTTCTCCAAGTTAATTTCACTTTAGAAGATTAAGCTATAAGCTGTGAATGATTAAGCTACGAATACTTCAGAGTGACTGCGCTTTTGAGTCATGGTGAAGCCTTCGAATGATATTGCACAGCTTAATTTGATTGGAAACCTTCAGAAATGGGCTTTCAAATCTAAGAAAGAAGTTTTGTGTCTATGAAGTGATTGGTTTTGCATGCTTGTGAGCGATAGCTGTGGCCCAATCAAGCCCTGAAAGTGACTTGTCAGTTGTCAGTCAATAGAGAAGACGTAATCAGGAAGAAGGTATCGCAGAAGTATTTTGTCGTTATTTTTAAGCTTGAAGAGCCTGAAGATTGTGGAATAATCCCAACGAATAGTGAATAGTAAATTTCAGGTTACCTAGAATCCGCAACCTGGGTCAGCTATCATGTGATGAATTTGAGACTATCATGCATTTCAACTATGTTATTTTCACTGGGCACTTGGTTGAAAGGCGAGTTTTCAATCTGACTGGCGCTCAGTTTAATGGCTATAAGCTCAATCACATCTATCCTGAGGTTGCTCTTTTGACTTGCTGTAATACTGGTTCATTCTTTCATGAGTACCCATTTACACCATGGATAATGCAGCTGTAAGCTTAGTAATATTTCCCTGGAAACGATGGGAAAATATAGCTCCTAAAATTCCCTGGAGGCTAGAGATATGAGTGCTCCATGTAATAACGTCACAAGGGAGTTCAAGCTCTGTATAACACAAATTTAGTTTCAAGAAAATATTTCATAGGAGTACATCAGGACTAGGTAGTTCCTTGATGGTGGGTTTCCTACTCACTTCTAGATAACCGAGAGCAAACTCCTTATTCTCCATGGCAGAAAATAGCTCGGCAGTTGAAAAGCAGGTTTCCTCGCCGTCATTATGAACCTCACATGCAGTCAATTCTGCAATATATTGTCTCAATTTTGAGTTTTTGTAAGTTCTGTCGTAAGCAAACTTGATGCTGTCAGGCCCATAATAGGTGGGCTGCGAGACATGGCTTGTGAGATTGATGAGGACTCTGCGGAATCTAGCTTTGAAAAATCGAATTATGGTTGTAAGGATTTAGATTGATATTGGAAAGGCCATAGGAATTTTTTTGTGCTCCAGATTCACTACCAAGACACTGAAGTGACCTACCTAGATGCTTAAATAAACATCCAAAGTTGAGCCGTCAAACCTTATAGCTCAAGTCAATTATCCACCCGAGATTAGTCGACTAGGCTGTACTTTGGCTAGTAGCTTCTTGCTGATCAACATAACTCAAAGGCTGTCATCTCATCTTAACTTATACTGCACACATCACAATAGCCAAGAGAAGAGCCAAACTTTAAAATCATCAGCTAAAATTCCGTTCTCTTTCACCCCCATCTTTTCGTTCTATTCATACATAAATTTGACCAACAATGCAACAAGTAATAAGTCCCCACCAAATCCAGCCATGTAAACCAGCCGATCCGATTCAATCCAATTCAACCCCCAAGAAAATAGAAAATAAATATAAGAAATTCCAAAAATCCAATCTATTGATCCTTCCAAAATGCATATATCATTCATATCACATTTAATCTCGTCTTTCATTACCCCCATGCAGAGAATATCATCTAAGCATCAATGAATCGAGCAAGACGACCATTAACAGATCGCTTGTAAGAACCCTTGACTCCAATACAGACAGCTTGTCCAACGGTCAATTTACACTCGCTTCCGAGACCGGGGTTCCAGAGATCAAGGTTGGTGGCGCTGACACCGTAGTAGTTCTCAATGTTGGTGCAAGAACAGTTGTTATCTTCGATGGTGACCCATTTGTCACAGGTGGAGATTGTACCTGTGGCTATTGGTGCTGGGGCAACAGTTCCGGTAGCAGTCTTGGTTGGGATGACGGTTGTGAAGGCTTTGGTTGTGGTAGAGCTTGCTATGATTGTGCTGGAAATATGAGTGGAAGATGCAGCGGTGGAAGAAGCTTTGCTTGTCTCGAGACGAAGAGCGGAAGAAGTGGAAGATCCTCCATAAACTGGAGCACCAGTTGTAGTGGCTGCCTTAGCTGAAGAAGAGGAAGCTTTACTAGTCTCGAGATCAAGAGCGGAAGAAGTGGAGGATCCTCCATAAGCTGGAGCACCGCCTGTAGCTGTTGCCTTAATTGAAGAAGGGGAAACTTTACTAGTCTCAAGACCGAGAGCAGATGATGCAGAAGAACCGATAGCAGTCTTGACTAAGCTAACTCCTGAGGCGGAGATGTAAAGTGAGCTGCTAACCACGACAGTACCCGAAGTCTTGGAAGTTGAAGTACTAGCACCCTTGATGGATGAAGCGGTAGTATCGGGGTGAGTACCATAAGAGGCAGCTGAAGTGACACCAGTACCAGCGACTTTGCTAGAAGAGTATACTCCTGTTCCGGAGAGTTTTGTGGTAGTAGGGTAAGCTGAGGCAGCTCCATATCCAAGTGCAGAGGAAGAAGATGAAGCAGAGCCGTATCCATGAGCAGAGGGAGAAGCTGGAGCAGATCCATACCCGTGTGCAGATGATGAAACGGCAGTTCCAACAATCTTGCTTGAAGAAACGCCAGTTCCAGCGATTTTACTCGCGCCATATCCAGAAATACCAGTGCCAGTTATTTTACTGGAGAAAACTCCAGTACCGGAGACCTTTATGGAAGAAGGTTTAGTGGTTCCAGAGACTTTGATAGATGAAGATACACCGGTTCCAGAAACCTTGATACTAGAAGCTGATACTGATCCTGAAGTCTTATGAGTGGCACTAGCAGAAACGGCTGATGCCTTGGATGAAGAGACAGCACTAATAGGCTTGGCAGAGGTGCTATCAGCCTTGGTGGTAGAAACTGCCTTAGCAGAAGAAACTGGAACGGTGCCGACAGTCTTGATGGAGACCTTGCCACCGGCTGGAAGAGTTGGGCCGAGCGGGAAACATTTGTCAATAGGAGTGATCAAGTTGTTGTTGGTATAGATAGAGGTTTTCGCCTTCCAGCTCTTGTCTCCGCCAGATTCAGTGTAAACACCAAGATTGAGATCGACACCAACAGTTGCACCTAAAGTGACACCGAAAATATCGGCTGATCCAGGGCATACACCTTGAGTATTGAACTCGGCTCCAAGATCAATTTTGACGTCTGGAATTCTGAGGAAAAGTCCACCTCCGAAACCCCACTTGCTGAGAACGGTAAGTCCAACATCAAGACCAATTTCGGTGTACATTTCTAAGCTTCCATCAACCTGAACGCTGACCTTAGGAGTTTGAGGAGTAGCAGTTGGAACCCAGCCGTTGAAGCTAGAATCAACACCACTAATACCAAGAACAGCGGAGGAAGAATCTGGAATGGCAACGTTGACACCAGCGCTGATTGAAGCACTTCCTTCGATACCACTGAGAGCGAAACCGGCATCGACGGTGAATTGAGGACCCAAGTCGATGATCTTTGGAATAGACCATCCTGGAAGACCAACAGTAACCAAGTTCCAGTCTTTGGTCCATCCACTACCTAATGTACCAGAAACAGAAAATCCAAGAGCCAAGTTAGCACCTACACCTTTTGGAGTAGTAGTGATAGAGATAGACTTGACACTGGTTGGAATACCAATGACAGTATTCATAACAATCTTTCCTTGAACATCGATAGCACCGGTGGTAGCACAGCCAGGACAGTCAATAGAGAAGTCAAGTCCACTGTTGGTGGATTTGCTGAAAAAGGTCTGAGGAAGACTGTGGGCCATGTTAAGAGATAGCGTCTTGCTAATGGTGTCGGTTCTCTTTGATGAAGAGGATGTCGACATGGCACCGAATTCAATAACGGCACCAGTCATAACATCATCCCAGTCTGAAAGAGTAGCATTGAAGTTGACAATGAAGTTTTGCTCATCATAGACATCGACTCCGTGAACAACCCATGGCTGTCTACCGGATTCCGATGCAGCAGCGCATGCACCCCAGTTATTGATCATGAAGAATGTGCGGTTTTCATGGAAATTGACCCAGGACCAATCGGCAATGGCATCTTGGAAAGTAGCATTGTCTTTGAAGGTAAGAACAAGGTCACCGTTGCATTGCACATCTGTGAGACTGTCGGAAAAATGTTCGGTGGATATAACAAGTTCGGTTTCGCCTGTGTTAAGGGTTACATTGACAAAAGTTGAACCTATTGTTCGTTAGATCATCATTTCGGAACCGAGATAAAATAGGCAACATACCATTTGATGATCCCCAGATAAGACTGAGTTCATTTTGAAGAGTGACGCTCGGAGGGGCATCTCTTCTCTGAAGACCAATGTCCCTCGGATGATATGGAACTAGAGTTTCCTTGGTACCTTGAGCAGTGCAACTCTGCCATAAAGAAAGAGCCGCAAGAGCAAAGACTGATTGACGCATGATATAGATATTATGATTGGAATCTTGAAGAAAAAGGGCAGAGATGTGGAGATCGGTTGTTCGAATCAAAAAACGGCACTCAATGAATGAATGAAACGGACCAAAAGATCCTAGGAAAGGAAAAAAGAATGACTAGGGAGATGCTGTAAAGAGAATGTGAAATGAGATGGAGAGAGGAAGGTAGGAGTCAGTAACACTCCTCTGTCTTATATACCGACCATCCTCTCTCCCTCGAGCCTTACAAGATGGAATAATCAGATCAATCATCAGGCAATTTACATGATCATAGAAGGATTTCTGTGAACCTGGTGGTGAGAGGTGCCAAGAACTACCTGGAATTCTTGTGTGTGTTTTCGACCCAGCCAAGCGAGTCATGGAGATACATTTTTAGAAGAATTCCTCCAAAAATTCATCATGAACAGTAAAAAAGCAGTATGTTCTGCGTAGGATGCTGACTGAGGAAATTTTGGATACTCCTTCCACAGCATTACCGAGGAGAACATGGTGGTATCCACGTGAGAAGCTAACTTCTCGGGATGATCAAACACATCGGCTTGAACGGCATATCAACCTCAATTCTCGAACAGTTTTGAAGGAACAACTTGATGATCAGGTATTCCCTAAACCGGTAGAAAAATATCAAGAATAGATGCTCATCGTATGAGTACCTAAGCCTCGAATAGAGATGAGGTTACAGAAGGATGTTGAAGGAAGAATATGGGAGACAAGGGACATAACGGGCCAATCTTAATTGAGGCTGTACGTAAAGTGACCAATAAGCAGATCTATGGCAATATCCACAGCGAGTGGAAAATGCTTATAGGCACAAGTAAGAACACAAGGATGATGATGATGAATGGCCCATAACAACTCGCTAGTGCTTATGGTTATATTTCCCTGTAGGCTTGAGACCTCCCCCGCACCCAGGGCTCTTGTCATAGTTTTAAGCACTGGGCTGATCAGCAGCGGCCCATCAATAGGGATAATGATTAGCCACAAATGATAACTGTAATTGGCTGAAACTTTACGATCCAAAAAAAAAGTGGACGCCTAATTCTGTGTTCAGATTGTGAATAATGCCAAATCTGATATACGACAATCACTAATAAATGGACCCAAGCTCCTGCTCAAAAGGTGTGTAAAAGTTTTTGTAGGATTATAAGAGTGATTATATGATTATTTGTTTACTAAACTAGCCGAGTAATCAATCAGAGGTCTACTGACAAGTGGTCCATAGGGTCAACATGGAGAAATCATCTAGTACGATTTAAGAGAGGAGACAAATCCATCCTACTCGTCTCAAATACTATTGGGGAAAAGAAGCAGAAGATAGAAGATTGAAGTTGCTCGTGTTGGGGGCTGTTGGTTTGTAAGACCAGGAAGCTATTTTTGTGCTGACTTAAAATTACTGCGCCTGTAAGATACAGCCACATCAATGTAATGTAGCTAGCTATAGCTACCTAGGTATATTTGTTGAGAATTTTCTGAATAACACAGGCTCTTTCGAGAAATTACATTGGCTGCCAGTTCACTGGAAACAAATAATAAGCTGTTCGGGGGCTTGTACTTGCTGCAGGTACCCGGCCCAGCCTTGATTGCTTATTCCAACCGTTGTATTACAAAAATTGTTCTACCCCAGTAATTAAATCTGACTATCCGGTATTTATAGAATCCTTTCAAACAAGCCTTCAGGATTTTGTAATGTCATACGGAGTACCAAGTGAATATAGAACTTTAAAAGGTCATAAGAATCCTTACAATTTCTGCCAGACAAAGATTTTTTCTCTTGTCAATATTCACTATTTTGCCAAATTCCTTTCAAGTCAACGGAAAATATCATCTGCTTCTTTTTTTTCTTTCGATTAAGATCAATCAAATTACGGCACTAGCGGCTCAGCCACTGCGCCTGCTTCAGTTATCTCATTACTTCCAATCCTTCTCCATTTAAGGGCAACAAGTTTTCAATTTTTACAAACTCAAACCATCAACCACCTTACAAACACACAACTTCCAAACACAACAATAATAAAACCTTCAAACAACTTCAACTCTTCAATTATTAACCGCCAAGATGAGTTGCACTGATCCTTCCGACAATCTCTTCCCCGTTCTCGTGCTCGCCGGCAGCGATGAATATGTCAATGCTTGCACTGCAGGTAACATCACCTCTAACTCTGCCGCCGTGAGCGCCATGACAAAATGTTGCGGTAGTGCCCCCGTCAACGTTATCATGGACGGTTGCTACAGTTACTGCAATGTTACCAGCAGTGCTGATCAACAAGCTTTTGAACAATGCTTCGGTTCAAGTGCTGGTGTTACATCAGATGTTGATTTTGGCTGCACCTTGGATGACAATTCAGGATTTGAAATTCCAGGAAGTGGTACCATCACCCCAAGCTCCACTGGAACATCAGCTGCAATTGCCACTCTGGTTCCCATTACCGTTACTACATCTTCCGGTGCTACTACCACAACTGCAACTTCTGGCCAAGCCACCTCAACAATCGCCGCCAACTCAAGCTCTGTCTCGTCCTCCGTCACCGAAAAGCCTTCAGCCACCAGCAAGACTTCAGCTTCGGCTTCATCTTCCGCTGCTACTGCCTCCACCACTGCCAACGCCGGTCAAATAACCGTCAAGCAATTCTCCAAGGGTGCTATGGCCGTTATCGCACTTGCTTTCGTCCGTCTTTTGGTTTGAGTGTGAAGGGAGATGGAGGAGATTACAGACCAAAAAGAATGATTGATTCTCGTGGTGGGATAGAATAATATGTTGTGGATTTGGGGGCAAATTGACTACGGAAATATTGAATTTGATGGAATGCATTTTCGAAATACGATTGGCGCATTATAGGAGCATAATGGTGGTGCATAGCGTGTTTAACTTTGGGTTTCATGACTATACATTCTAGAATCGAATTTGCTTTTTTCGATTCCATATCTATGTCTCCAACTTTGTTTCCAAGGGATGTGATAACTTTGAACTGAGAATGTTGGAAGCTTCACCGCAATATGTATGGGTGAGGCACAGGATCTAAGCCCCATGTAACACGGACAACGCGAGACAAAATTGAGGAATTGAAGCTAATATAAGCCCTGGGGGCAAGAGCGATGTAACTACACAAGGATGAAGGTGCAACCGTTCGAAAGCCAATGAGATCTCAAGATTATAGCTTCATCCAACAAATACATATGTGATTGCCAAATATCAAAGAAGACTTACAGCCACTTAATTACCTACCTGTAAGCATCATCCATAACAATAAATCACATTTGTTGCAACGATTCTTGATTAGCCTGTGAGCGGTTTTGATTGTAAATATTTATAAGAGAACGAAAAGGAGGGATGAGACGAGATTAAAAGATAGGGTGATGATTACTAATACGCTAGTCCCAATCAAGTTTGAAGGAATACAGGGGTGATTTATGTGCTCTAACCATAAAAGAATGATCATGACTAGCACGTGAGTACTTTGCAGAAAAGACTTTGTCCCACGACAAAGATTCAAGACGAGGGTTATCTATCTTTGAGTGCATTTTGAAGACACAAAAGCTTATATGGAATAATCCGTTATGCCTTAAGTTGGCCCAATACGCAATGCTGATATCGATTGCCGCATCCTCATCTTCATAGGTGGGGGTGAAAGTAATCATCCAAATGGGAAGAGAAAGGAATCATCGCGAAAGGCGTTGTACATGCTGTGTTTCTTCGAGCCATCTTACCAAGATATTATCATTTAGTAGGTGAATTAACCGATCCTCAAATCGCCATGACAGACGCTCCAACCTGGAGTTCATTGCTCTACCGACCTTTGGATGCCGATGAAGTTCGAGTCTTATGTATCGAGCCAAGTTCTCGTTCAGATCCTGATGATTCTGATATGATATCATGCCAAATGCGTTCGATAAAACTTAAAGAATTAGGTGTATCTCATGAATTGGTCGAAAAAGAAACGGCTTCCGAGCGGGAGTGGAAAGGTCTTCGTCAAAAGCCATGCGATTATACGACGCTATTTAAACCTAGAAGGGGACTTCTCGACCGACCTTTAAAAGCATATATCAAGTCCTTGAAAGAGATACAAAGCAAATCTGATGAAGCTTTTGCGCCCACTAAAAGTTTACCCAATCTCTCAGATAGATATGTTGCCTTATCATATGTCTGGGGATCTCCGGCAGACAAAATGACAATATTAGTCAATGGGATTGAGATGCAAGTCACCCAGAATCTGCATACTGCTTTGATATCATTGCGAAAGTCTACTTGGGTGAGAAGACGTGTTAACCTGTGGATCGATGCGTTATGTATCAATCAAGATGATCTAGATGAGCGCGAGCAGCAAGTAAAGCTAATGCGAGATATATATGCTATGGCATGGCAGGTGGTAGGCTCCCTTGGTTCAAGTACTTCACATACGACCATAGCATATACAGCATTACAATGGCTATCTCATGAAATAGGGTCGGAAGAAAAGCTGAGAAAATTCGCTGTCAAATACGGAAACTTGCATCACAATACCGCCAATGCAGCGGAGTCAGCCCCCTACACTTTGCCATGGCATGAATTTGCGTATGAATCCATTCGTTCGTTTTTTGCATGCCAATATTGGCATCGTCTTTGGATTTTGCAAGAGTTGGCCATGGCTAGAATGGATGCACCTGTTATCTGGGGAGATCACTCGATGTGTCTAAGCGAGATATGGAAAGCTTGCCAGATGATAGAAATACAAGAAGATATTGTTCTGCAAGATATCACGACACATACAAAGGATGCTGATCGGCATACAACCATAGCTACGATAGACCGACGATTGGAAGATCGCGAGGGAACTCCTGGGCAACAGTGGAAACATCTTATACGTATTCAAAACATGCGTGAGTTGAACCAAGGGGGTGTTAGTAGCGCCCTGCCGGCCCTTAAATTGGCAAAGCAAGCGCAAGCTACAGATGCACGGGATAAGGTCTATGGGATTCTTGCTGTACCTTGCGTGAAAGGACTGACGAATGTATCGCCCAATTACCGAATCGAGCTCCCTGAAATATTTACCAATTTCACACGTGAAATAATCTCGAATAATGAACACGGTTTGGACATTCTCAGATTGGTTCACTCTCCTGTTGATAAAATCATGCTATCATCAATAACTGCGAACAATCCTCGTTGGATGCGTAAAATGATAGGAGGTCGGTTCATGGAGGTTGCAACACCTTGTATACACAAATTACCCTCTTGGGTGGTTTGCTGGTCATGCTCGGCCGCACCAGTGATGTTTCTTCCCGGTACTCATAAAGCAGATCGAGGCTTCACACACCCTTCACCTCCAGTATTTCTTCGTGATAATATTGTATCACTACATGCCGTCTTTATTGACTCCATAGCTACCCTTTCAGCATTCAGCGCTCACGAGAACGACGAAACGTTCCCAAAGAACCACATCAGTGCAATCTCCATCCGAAATGCATATGGCACCATCGATGGTCTCAAAGAAGCATTTTGGAGAACTATTGTAGCGGATACCACGCCTAACGGCGAGAAACCTCCTCCTTCCTGGGCGGTCCTTCGTCTACCACGATTATGGACTGTATATGGTACAACAGAAGGTGGCGGTTCAGGTCTCGATTTCAGTCTGCATGGCTTCGCGCAACGCAATGAGGAACTGATCATTTGTGGAACACGTCTCAAAGATCTTCTAGCCGATGCTAAAACCATCAAGGAAAGAAATGTTATCAGGGATCAAGAAAGAAGCACAAGTAATGATGACTTGCGAGATTCTTCGACGTGGGCTGCCAATGTTCTTGCGTGGAGGCGATTAGTTGGAAGTCAAAATGGTCGAGTCGGTCTTACGGTCGCAGCTGCTATGATAGGCGATTCAATCGTAGTTCTACCTGGATGTAGTGTTCCTCTAGTCTTGAGAAGAACTAGAATGGGTTGGAGACTGATAGGGGAGTGCTTTGTTTATCGGATGATGAATGGAGAAGTTGCTGACTTAGTGGGAAGCGGGGCGGTATCAATTGAAGAGATAAAACTTCATTGAAAGCACTAAAGATCGAGACTCAATTTTCTTATTCAATGTAGTCTGACTTTCTGGCTACGAACTTAATATCTGCCAAAAGGCAGCCATTCCCTTATATTTTTGAAAGGTCATGATAAGTAAATAAAAGAACGAGGTGCTTTAGCATTAAATTCAAAGAAAACAATCGAGCAAGCCATCGAGAATGAAGCACCTTGCTCACCATTCCGTCGTATTTTTCCTAAACATACAGTTACTTCGAAATATAAACTGCTTCCAAATTGTTTCCATCTATATCCGAGACAAAAGCCGCATAGTACAGCTGCCTGCTCATCTCCTTTCGAATTCCCGGCGGTCCGTTATCACATCCGCCGTTTTGTCTGAAACATGTTCAGTTATACACGGGATAAACTCTTTAATAAGTAACAAGAGAAAGATCAAAAGGAGATTAATAGCTTATCTTGGTATACATATCCAACTTACAAAGCAATCTCATAAAACCGATCTACCGCCTCTCGACCTATATGTATTTCATCAGCTTGCTTCATATATTTCAATCCTTAGTATTCTTACTCGGAGCATCAAACGCCACATGCGTTGGCATCGGCGCTTGCCCTTCAGCCAATTTCTTCAGCCAAAAATAAGGGTAATCGCTACCATAGCCGATAAGACCGTCGTTGTTTGTACAGACCATTTCGGTATAACCTATGGGTTTCAATACGACTTCGCAGAAGGCTCGTAAAGCTTGAAACTTGGCTGCGGAAGCATTGAAGAAGATGTGGTTGATTGTCATTTTGAAGATGATGGATCTGTGAATGGCGAGCTCTTTGGGTAAATGGACCGGAGTTCCGAGTATTGGTAACACGCAACGTCATTCCGGATATTGTGCTTTTTACCTCAACTTCAACGCCGTGGCAGGACTAAAACCCAAAGCTTGGTAAGTGTGATATTTGAACTCGGCGATATCTAAAACGTGAAAAAGTTATATAAAACCATTGAAATATGTCACCATGAGACCATATCTCTCAAACATTACACACAGCTTTTCAACAAGAAGAATAAAATAAAAAGCATGGCACCACTCATCATATATGGCGCAACAGGGTACTCCGGTCGATTAGCTAGCGAATATGCAAAAAGTCTCAACCTCGACTTCTCAATTGCCGGCAGGACAGAGCATAAGCTCAAGAGCCTAGCACTTCTACTCAACGTCTCTTATTCAGTCTTCGATGTCACTCAACATGATTTAACCGATTCAATACTAAGAGAATCTTCCGTTCTCCTCAACTGCGCCGGTCCCTTCGCGCACACTTCCAAACCGCTTATCGAAGCATGCATCCGAAATAAAGTGCATTACCTCGATATCGCAGCAGAATTAGACAGTTACCAACACGCGCAGAAGCATGACAAAGATGCAAAAGATGCCAACATTATGCTTATGCCCGGATGTGGAGGAAGCGTCGTGATGTTAGGTTGTCTCGCTACTCATGTTATCGAGAAAGTCAAAACCCCGATCAAAATCGAAATTGCCTTGCGTATCGCTGGAACGATATCACGAGGATCAGCAAAAAGCGCAGCAGAGAGTATAACAAGCCAGTGTCTTCAGCTTGTAGACGGATCATTGGTTGGACAAGATGTTAGCAACACGGCGGAGTTCGATTTCGATGATGGAAGTGGAATTGTTACGTCGGTTCCGGTGACATTTCCTGATCTTCTGACTATACGGAAATCTACAAATGTGCTTAATATTGCAACATATGTAAACATCTCTGATGCGACCTTTCCGACTGGAGATCTTGCTTTGTTGCCGGAGGGTCCGACGGCCGCGGAGAGGAAGATAACACCATATCATGCAGCAGTGAGTGTCACATCTGAAGACGGGGTTATACGAAAAGCTGCTCTTCATATAGTCAATGGCTATACCTTTACCTCAATGGCATCGGTACAAGCTGCGAAGCGAGTGATGGATCATCAGGCTATACCAGGCTTTCAGACACCCGTTGAAGTATTTGGGAAGGAGTTTGTTCTCACTATACCGGGCTCTGAGATCGTGGATCTCTGATGTCTAAATGAATAGTTGTTTGTATAATCGAGATACTTAGCTTAATTTTGTCATTAATGTAATGGCTTTCCAGGATGTAATTTGAAGGATTTGAGTAGTTTTTCTCATCGCTAGAAATGAAAACGAACGAGAGATATCCCATAAATCTTTTTGCTGTGAATCAACACCAAAGCTTCTATATCTAAATATGCATGTTGATTAAATGGGAGCCCATAAATTCCCTATCTCCTTCTCTTAACTACTCCACCGATCTGGAGGTAGTGATTTGCAGTTTGTTAGGATATTGTTCAATTCGGGAATCTTTGTAAAACAGAGAACTCCGGATTCCAGATTGCTGATCTATCATTTGGGAGATGATATCGTCATGTCAACTTCTTTCAAGCATTGATAATCAATATTTCAGAATTGATGACTGTATACTACGATTAGGGAAATAGATGATCATGAGCAAATATATAAGACAAAAGACTTTCTGATGTTAACCTATGTTTGAATTGCAATCAATCAGGCAAATATCAATATTCTTCTCTACATCACTTCACGCTCTACTTCACACATGTCAAAAGGCCAACAAATTCTATACAGACGTCCTCTCATCACATCTCATATCATAGCAATGGATACTATCACGTCCGATCACGAACTCATCAGAAATGCAATCGCAAACGTTGCAATTTCATTCGACATGAACACCTTTGAGAATCTTCGCAATTCATTTACAAAAGACTGTGTAGCGGATTATACAGGTTCTCTCGGTCTGATGAATGGCATTGCCACTGTAATCCAGCAATTGCAGAAGACTATCGGGCACGTCAGTACTTTCCATAGCTTGAGCACACAAGTGATTCGGCTCACTGGAGATAACACGGCTGAAGCTACCACGTACGTCACAGCAAGCCACTTTGCCGACGACAAGTCGTTTTTTGCCGAAGCCAGATATCTCGATAAACTTGTGAAGGTGACTGAGGGGGTAAATGTGAAGTGGCTGATTGATCATCGATTGACTACCATGATGGGTGTTCCGAGGGGTGATGTCTCTATATTCAACATGGACTTGGAGGGGTGGGCAGCCAGCCTAAAGGCTTGAGAAAAATTCGAGTCTATGAGCGGAGTGGTTATTTGCCCAAGTAAGTTCCACTTTATCACAGGTGATCGAACTTGACTGACATAGAACGAAGATCGCGAAGTCAGTTGGTTCTAAGTATTAAATGGTGGCAAATGTTGGGAAATTAGATGGAGCAACGAGGTCCTGAAATCAAATGTATAGAAATTTTATCTACGCGTTAGAATTTCCTCTATAGAAATTGAGAATATGATGCATTGTCCCAAGTATTATATATGATTACTGGATTAAGACTTTGAGTGATGGTGGGTCAAATTCTGTAGCGTTGACTTCAGAAATGTTAGTGTAGTAAAATGTCAGATTTTTGTTGGTGACTTACCGATTGAAGCCATAATAAATCCAAACTCATCAACCTCTCCAAACCACTTCTCTGCTCTATTATTCAAAGTAGTACCGGGCAGGATATCTCCAATCTCGGCTTGAAGGTAAATTCGACCACTCCATCTCGAAAGCCAATGGATGTATTTTGTGTTCCACTCTTGTTCAGTGTTTGCTTGCCAGAGTGCCTTTGGGGCCGGTGCAGGCATAAACCCAAGGTCTTTACAGTCAAAACATTGAACTTTGTGCAACACCGAGTATGCCCAATGAAGAAGATATAAAGTAAGCACTGCTCTACGTTTGGATGCAACATGTATCCAAGCTTCCCAACACGGTCGTGTCTGTGCTCTTTCTTCTTTAAAGAAAAGGCCATCACGCACAACGTGCCACACAAGTGACTCGACTTTTTGAAAGACGATTTCGTTATCATCTGCTGAGTTTTGTGGGGCTCTTGATGGTGAGAGGAGGATAATGGAATATATCACTACAGCTTGTAGAACTGCTAAAAGCATCGTTTCGTCAAGTTCTTCTGGCTATTTTAGGCGACCAATTAGACGGTCTCGTACAAAGATGTGCATAAGACTTACTTGATCGACAATAAGATTCAACTCTGAAATTATTGTCTTCCTCACAATCTCTTCAGCTCCAACGCTTTGTCCATGCCACATTTTGACTAAAGTTGTGCAAGTCGCCAATGGCCGGGGCAAAACATCAAGCTGAGCAAAATGTGTGGAATGGAATATTGGAGGTAGTTGGAATCCCTCAGCCAGCATCTGAGGCCAAGTACGAAAAACACGGAATATAAGTTCCATGCTGTGATTTGCTAAAGCAACCGATTTTGATTCTGTAGACGGTGGAAGCTCAATAGAAGGAACGTTGTCGAGTCGGCCAGGCTCGGAAATACTTCCGTCTTCACGGCCAAAAGATAGCAGCCCTGAGTGATCCATATTTTGCGGATATAAATCAAGATCTAATGGTGGCATTGAAGACCAGTTTCCTGCATCCGAGAAAAAGGTGTCGAATAGATTAGGATCAAACGTTGACTGTAAAAATTGTGGTCGAAATGTAGGTGAGATATCTGAAAGCGTGGTGCTTGTCGGATTCTTCTCAATTTCTAAAAGGTCGTGTCTCACATTCGCCGGAGTGTTCAGGTTCTCAGGAATAGCGTATTCGCAGGGAATATTACGCGCATGACATCGTGAGCAAGTAGGCCGTTTTAAGCTACACCTTGTTTTATGTGTAACACATTGACGACAAGCCTTACGCCTTCGTGATAGATTTTTGTTACACTGGTTTTTCAAATGACGACTGAGCGATGATTCTGCGATGTTGTAAGGTTTCAACGTCAACGTAAATGGATTGAGAAAGTCTCGTGACTTACGGTGGTTGAACTTAGCTCCACAAGACAGGCAGCCCGGCTTTCCTTCCATAGTATCTAGTTCCATGTCTTCGCGGCGGAGATTGAGTTGTTACTTGTGAAAAACTTTTTGATGAGAAGAAGGAGAATATGGATAAAATGCATGCGGTGATCTCAATTCCCAATTAGCTCGGAATTCCGAGCTGCTTATGCAGCAAAACAGGCCGAAAGGCTGACTTTCATCCGATTTTGTACATTCTTGTATGTTTTCTGAAAGGAAAACATTTGACAGTCACATTTCAACTATGGATTATGTTACAGGCCAAGTATTCTTCAATAGAGAATTCGGGTGGTTGCTTTGCAATATACGGTAGCGAGGTTAATCGCCAAACGCTTTTTTGTTTTGAGGTGGTTCGCCTTTTTGCGTTCACATGTTTGCAGTCAAAAATAGAAGCTCTTCTATCAATAACAGAAAATCTCAGGGTTAATAAGAGTATGTATCTGATCAAACAATGAAGACGCGATGAGAAAAGATAGAGCTAGCGCACACGTGTATCTGAGCGCTTACTTTTGGCGCCGACCAAACATTTTCCGCCGACGCAGATACATAAAGCGGTGAAGAATCCTCATTCTGAAATCTTTCATACTTGATGATTTATTTACCCAACCTCACTACACATTGGAAAAATTCTGGCTTCATTCACGGTTGGTACAGCCGAACTCGGTGTGAATTCAGAGTCTGCTTTATCTCGTGACAGATGAGAAGATGCATTCGCCCTATGGAAGCCAGCACATCTATTTAGCCTCGTGGGTTCATGAGTGATTGTTTCATTCTATGGAGGCTCATAGCTGCTACAGATCTTCAAGTGAAGATCATTCTTCCCCTCCATGTGGTAGGGTCGCTTCGCGTCTACCATATTTGGCAAGCTTTTACTAAATAAGCACATCCTTCAGCAAATCCTTGCAATGATCTGGTTCCTGATTTGCACTCTGTCAATGTGGCGCAATCTTTAAACAGTTGACACCAATCACGTTGCGTATAAAAACAACCACGCTGCAGAGTATCTGCAGGATATATATTGATTCTTGCGCAACTGCGCCCCAGAACCGATAGATGGAAGTTTGCTATTTCGAAAAATGGTTCTAGACAAAAGCTAGAACTGGATACAAGTACAAGTGAAGCATTCCCATGTAATCTATCTTTATTCCTGATTTTCAACCATGCAATTCCTGTCAGTCCTTCGTTAACACAATTTGAATGTCATCATCAAATCGCCAAAATGGTGTACCAAATTAGACCCTTGCACATATCAAGTGAGGCGCCAGAAGTTGTTCCCAAGGAACAATCTCCGTACTTATCAACCTCGCCCGATAAATATTTCGTTCGTTCATACTCCGTGAGAAGAGCCTCGAATCATATAATATCGCCACTAAGTAAACAATGTGATAATATTCCGCTCCAAGAAGTCTCATTTCCTCCACCGAAAAGAGCATACGATCTTGCGCGTTATCTACCACCTCCAAAAGAAAAGAAAAAATTCGGGCTGGTACCAATTTTCTTTATAGCTGTGGTGTCTTTCTTAATCGGAGGGGGTATTGGTGGTGGCATTGGAGGATGGATTGGGAAGCATAACAACCCCTCGAGGTATTTCTGCATACGACAATAAGAAAGGACAAAACTGATTACAAGTGTTTCCAGCAAGACCTCCAAATCCGAATCAACAGGAACATTTTCAGGATGTGCTCCAACAGTCACAGAATTTGTAGACTCGGCTGGCTGTCCCAACGTCAACAACACCACCTACACAACACCTGTACCAAGTACAGAGTTTCGTATAGCTTGTGCTATCGACTTGACTTCTTCACCAGGAGAAGATATCGAACTAACCAACGTCACTACTCCTACCCTGAATAATTGTCTGGAATCATGCGCACAATATAACAATCGACAGTGCTTGGCAGCTACTTGGATACAGTTTTCTCCAAATCATCCAGAGATGAACTCGAAGTGTTTCTTTAAAGCGAATTCAGGAGTTCGCATACCCATGAATTCTACGGGGACAATAGCCACGAGTGGGTTTCGGATTTCCTGACACGAAATCGATTCAGAATATAAGTTCTCGGAATACCTTATATATTTTAACTTGATACCTCGAGGTACTGGAAAAGCGCTCATGGTTCGCTCACTTGATATCAATGGTTTTGCATGGTCAAGGCGTTTCTAAGATGGTGAATTATTTTTGCGTTCTTCACAACCGGATTGCGACGGGATGCTTGGAGTATCTAAAAATCTGTACATTCACTCACGAGATATGAAGAGATGATGGAGAATTTGCTTTGCTTGCGGCCACTTTAATTTTTAATTGCTATTTTTATTGTTCTTTTATTGTTGCAATTACGTTGAAGCTAATGTTGGCGGCTTGCGGGCGAGGTGTAATTATAGATTTTGTGTTGAATCAAGAAGCTCGTGGATATGAAATCAAACGGGGGACTCATTGCAAATCTGGATACAAAGTGATAACCACCGATCGCGTTAGCAATGAATCATTTCGAAGGAACTCCTGCCACATTGAAATATCTCGCAGCGTCGTTCTTCTGCTTGTGGGGAATATAACATTTCGCGTGTTTACTTTCTTCCTCAAGATAAATTGTCTGAAGAGTTGCCAGTGTCACTTCATCTAATAATATAACTTGGCTCATGTCGCAGGGCATTGATGTAGTGTAGGAGATAAGTCAGAAGGTCATTCCTGGTGCACTCTTTCAAAAGATCTTTTGATTCGATGTTTGCAGAGCGAATACTCGTAGAAGCATAGATGGCTAGCACTTTAGACAACGATTGTATGGGACTCGGCGGTGGTGATGAGGTTAAATGAGCCTAGCGTGGTTACGGAGTATTGACCCCCTCTTTCCCAAAATAGTTAGACCCAGGTATGATCGCGTCGCGTAGTACTTTACTTTTATTCTTCCTCTTTACAACACGCCAAAAGATCGCGACCCACGACTACCCATTCATTTTCATATTTTATGGTGGGTAGTGATTGTCACACTTCTATACACAATTGCCTTTATTTATATATCCTAATTGAGTCGTGTTTGCGCGATAGATGTTGACCTTCGAGGGATCTACACAAATCGCGTCAATTTTTCAGATCTCTCCCACCCATCTTTCTACCTGTGCCTCGCTCGACCGAACAACCTCCAACCTGAGCTCTCGGAGTCTTGATAGAAGAAATTCGCCGGCAGCTAAGAAGGTCTCGTTACCCACAACTTCTAGGATATCATTACAATGACGCGTTGATCAACTTACAAGTCCCATAAGATCGAAGCAATATCACCGGGTCTCTACAATCTATACTTCGGAGAGCAGTGCTTTTGATATGTATTATTATGAAATGAAGACACACGAAAATCTGTCGGTGGATGATAGTCATGGATGGCTGGTCCTATTAGCATTTCTAAAATGTTCCTCCATGTTTCCATTGGAAGCCTTGCGAAGGGAAAAGAACTCTACTCTGCGTCATCAGAAGTTACCATCTTCTTCCCTACGTCGGAATTTGATCTCAAGTCCCATGGCTACTAAAAAGCTTTGAACCCGACGATTCTCCTACTCTAGCATTAATCTTGCTTTTCGAGTACTCTATACAAGTGTGAATAGTGGATCTGTACTTGATGGATGATCATAACGAAAAGTCTCATCATTCAGTATATAACGTCTTGCAAATGCCGACTTTAGCTGCTTTGGTTCATCCCTAGCCGATGCATCTTTCCTGGGCTATTCGCAGATACTGAACCTTCTCGATACTTCCGATACCTCACGAGTCGAAGTGTCGAACTGAACGAAAACTCTCAAATAGTATGAATCTTGACGTCGCTATTTTCCTACGACATCGACTGCTTATTAAAATTTCCATGGTTCGCATGCCAATGTTAGGGTCTTAGTATCGGTGATATATATCTATCATGCTTATTCGCCATAACTGCTGATAAACACAACTTGTACAGTCGTGCCGTCCCGTCGCGAAAGGAAGGTAAGCACTTGCCAAATATGCGTTTATTTCAATGAGCCTCCTGGATATTTTCGATACGACTCATGATCTCTCTAATCATTATCAGAGATCGAAATCGAAATCAGTAGTTTGGCGAGTTGTGTAACTTTCAACAGATTCTGTCGTCTGCGAGTGGATAATTTGAGGTATCTTGTTTGTTCATTTTGCTTTCTTCGAAAATGCCTCAAGATATTTCAATCACAACATTTATTAATATGCATACTTTGCAATTTCCTTCTTTTGCATATCATCAAATCGGCTTGGGCGCTGGTCCCAAAATTGATGTTTATACCACTCATGTCGGATTTGCCTGTCTGCCCATCAACCCCAACAGACTCTGTGCCTTCCTTACTCGTGTAAATCTACCTCGACATCTCATAGCTCGGCTTTACTCGGAGCATTAGTTTCTCGGAGCCCGGTTCATTTCTCCTGAAGCCAACGGGCGCTCCGCGAAAGTACCTCCCCTTGCTCTTTATTTACATGGGGGAGAAGGAAGCTGAGGGATGGCATCAGGGATGGAATCCTACCCCACGTGTTTATTGTGCTTATTTCAAATGCTTTTATTTGTCATGACACATTCTAATATCCCTATAATCTTCTATCTCCCAGAATTAATATACTCGAATAATTTTACGACAAAAGTATCTGAGGAGTCGTCAAAATATCCCATCTTCTTTCTCCCAACAAGTCGCACGAATTACGCAGTACAATATATGGATATGAACATAGAACATAACTTTAAAGTTGGACACGAATCGGAATTAATTATTGCATCATTTTTCGAATCCCAAAGGTGTCGCCGAAATTCATCTGATGTCAATTAATCGTCTAGACTTTCGTTCAGTGCATGTTTGCTTTTAAGGTACCATGAGAATTCCTGTCAATTGCCCCTGGATCATTTACTTGTTCTTCGAGTAGTAACCTTACTGCAGGATTATACGATCTAGATGGTTGAAAGAATTCTTTCACCCCATCTAGAAAGCGCCATGCATGGAATGGTTTGTTTCATCGCGAACAAAATCCTTTGCCAATAACCAATTAATGGCTTCTGCTTAATCTTTCTTAGTCATTCGTACTATGTCAACCAGTGGCACAAGAAACACTTTTGTTTGCCAAGAAGCTTTTTGGCCGGATCATAATGTGATTGGAGTTCCTGAATTACTAAATTGGGCTACACAACCATTGGAATATGGAAAATACCCCCTTGAAACATTAATACTCCAAAATCCTATCAGATTTCTATCTGTTCCTCATTTTTGAAGTTCTTGAATCGGCGAATTCAAAGCTTAGACTCAGATCCTTTCGACCCACAGCCAAGGATATGATGTGAGTAGAGCCCTAAGGGGGGGCGGCTAGACATCAATATGCCCGACGAATGAATGGTTTCCGCGCGTTTGTAAGGAGATCTTTTTTTCTTGGGGCTGCCTGCCTAGAGGTTCAATTTAATCAATCTCAAATCAGCCCTGGCCCACTCTCCCCGCGTCCAAAAAATGCGGGTGATGTAAATTAAGGAGATCAGCATGGCCCACATCGAGTACCTACACTGCAATTCACATTATATATATTAAGACTACTTTCCTTCGAGGTTTGTACCCCATTATCTTTTCTCACGATAAGTCTTCTTTCTTTCTCCAGTCGCTCTCTACCATATTCAATTCTTTCAATCTTTTCGATCTCTACGATCTTGTCAATCCTTACCAGAGTCTGGACACTCTTTGATTTTATATACACTCATTCATACATTTACTCACGTTTTTACTTCTTCCTTCCAAACTCGCAAAATGGTTCTCGCTACTTCTATTCTTCTTCCTCTTTACCTTTATCCTACTCAAGGTGCTTGGACCTGGGCCACCAATGCAATTGCAGCTTACCCCTCTCTTGCATTCACCGTCATTGTCAATCCAGAATCTGGACCAGGAAATCTCAATGGCTACCCAGAAGATGAATACATCTCTGGTATCACCAACTTGACAAAGCATGACAACGTCAAACTTTTGGGATATGTAGATACCCAATACATGGCCAAGAGTACTTCTGAGGTTGACCAAGAAGTCGAGACTTGTGAGTAACACCTTCCTAAAAACAGATGAGCTGAGAAAATTCTAATCATAAAATAGACAAATACTGGTCCACCTACACTAAAGCAAACATCGCCGTCGATGGAATCTTCTTCGACGACGCAGTCAACGAATGGACATCCGACTCTTCCAGCTACATGACCACCATTGCAGAAAACGCTCACGCTCTAAATCTCACCGTCCACTTCAACCCTGGTACCATCGCCGATCCCGAATTCTTCACCATCGCCGACAAAGTTGTTATGATTGAAGATGACTATCCGGCCTATTCCTCCAAGAAAGGCGATTCGTTGAAAAAAATCGCAAACACCCAACAAGAGCAAAGTTCGGTCATTATTTACGACTTCAGTGGTTCTCAATCTCAGCAGGCTAATACCGTTAACTCGATTGTTGCTTCTGGGGTTTCGGAGGTGTATATTACGACGGTGGAATATACGAGTCAGAGTAAGATGTGGACTCAATTTGTAGCTGCGGTCAATAGTGCAGTGGGCAATTAGGGTGTTAGTTTGGAAGGTCGGTTGTGGGGTTTAGTGAAGCGGGCAAGGCCGGCGGGGCGGGAGATAGGGAGGAGACAATGTCTCTCTGGCAGATTGACGAAAAGTTGTGTTTGGATGCTGGGGGAAATCCTTCTATTCTTGTTTTTACTTTTGATGAAAGTGTGACTTCTTGGAAACAGGTGCGAGAAAAATCTATATGTATTGATATGATGGAAAATGAAAATAGCAGAGTGAAGTGCGGAATTGGCGACTTCTTTCTCGTACGCCCTTATGTTTTTTAAAACTATATGCAAATTTCGAGTTCATAAATCTGCCTTGGTCTTTTCCATGGAGTATTCCTCTCTAGATTCCAAGTATACTGCAAATCCTCAATCTTATTAAAATCTTCGATATTGCAAAGTGCAGTAGCATCATCTCCACATCATTGAATAAATAGGAGAAATCTGAAAATCGCAATAATTTCTTCAAAGGAAACCCTCACTTTCCATGTTTGTTTCATCTCTAACTTTCAATCACTTCAACTGATTTGTATCATATCCTGCCACTGTCTCCAAAACCTAAGTCTCAGAAAAATGCCAAGAGCCTCCGCAATGAAATTCCCATCAGCGGCAAAACTTGGCAACGAATATCCAGCTTTTCAGAGGAGTTTCTCTATATTGCTATCCTCTTACGTCTCCCTCGAAATATATCACTCATAAAACAAAAAATCTACAACTACCTAGCTCGGGAGAACAGAATGTATACCCAGACTTAAAATTCCAGAACGCATACACCCACTTCTCAGGCCATTCCATCATCAGCATCTCCAACCTACCCATCCCATCATCTCCAGCCTGTATCGCTTCTTAGATTCAACCCCCTTTCTTCCTGAAAAAGAGCTCCAATTTTTATGCTATAGGGTAGTCCTCTTACTTCGATTCTCTAGATACACAAAAAATCCAACAAACATATCCAACATTTAATTTCGCATCCCCAGATTTCCTCTTCCATTAATACCTACCTACTCAAGTAGTTCCACAGCAATCCCCACATCTCCATCCTCATCTCATTTCCTATCCTCATCAACATTCACAATCCCACCCATCCACACACAACCCCATCTCCATCTGCCTCGCCATCTCCCTACTCCAATCTCCATGCATACACCAACAACTTTCGCTATAGCCATACTTTCCCAAAGTTCCCGACTATCGATAAAATCGAAACGTAATCATGTCTCCCAATAATTTTGTCCTGCGGATAAAGTTTTAACTTTTTCATTCATACACTATCTAGGGCCCTAGAGAATTAAGATACTACCATGATATAATTTGATTTCAATATGTTTCTCATGACGCAATCACATTACGACAAGGGCTGAAATGTTATATAGTAGAGTGTTTTTTTTTTTTGAGTTATGATTTTAAGTTCGATGCGCTTGGTGCTTGATGAGCTTTTGTGTTAGCTCGACTAGGTAGATAGGTAGGTAGGTGGGTATGGATAGATGTGCTAGCGTACGATATAATCATACATTTCTCGTCGGGAATTTTAATCCTAGTGAAGTATTAGTTTTCCCCAGGAACGAGAAACTAGTTGACCGACTGTTAGAGTTGGATTACTGATATTATGATTTGATTTGATTTGATTAGATTTCTTATATTACACCATGTTACGATGGTGAAACATATCAAATGAATCCCATGAAAAAACACTTACACATGAAACATTTCAACGACTTGAGAGATCTAGATTTGAATGAAACATATTATTCATCGAAATGGCGATCGAGAATCTAATGACTAGCTAGTGAGAGAGAGGAATGCTACCTGAGCTTATCTACTCATTTATCTCTTTGATGATCAATAATCATTTGATGGAAACACCAGATTTCCAAACTAGTGATTTGAGTTATTGATGATGCTTTTTTGATGATTGTTCACAATCATTCATTCATGATTATTTTTCTTCTTTCTTTCTTTCTTTCTTCATCTCACCGCCTCTCTCCTAAATACATTTTCTTAAGAAAAACTTGTATCTGCGGATACAGCAGCAAGAAATTGTGTCCAGAGATCACTTGGACTAATATAATCCTTGGTAGTGATGTATAGCGAATCAATCCCCTTTTTCAGAATTTCCCCAACAAAAATCGATTGATCGGCTGCCGAGCCGGGGAATTGATGGAATATAACTGAAGATTTGGAACGTTTGTCTGGGGGAACTATTTTTATGAATTTGTTAGTAGATTAACTACCTACTGAATAATAACTCAAAACTTTAAAGTTCAGGAAAAGGGAAGGAGAGAGGAAGAGAAAAACTCACTAGATTCGATACTGGGTAATGCTTCAGAATTATTATATGTGTCTTCAATCATCAAAATATTATCTGCGAGAGAGAAAAATGCGGGATCGGCAAGAACACCGGGATTAAATGTTACGCTGAGATTTGCTTGATGGGTGAAGGTAGCGATGGCAGACATGAATTGAGCGGTGCTGCTGTTCCAGTTGGAGACGCAGTCGTCGAAGAAGATGCCGTGCATGTGGATGTTTTTTGAGGGGTTGGCTTGCCAGTGGTTGTCTAGTTGAGAGCGGATGTTAGTGTGTGGATTTGATTGTGTGGTTGTGAGGGACAGAGGAGAAGATGAAGAAGTATGGGAGATTTGGGATTCGAGACTCGAGACTCGAGATTCAATTCTCAAGATTCAGAATTAGGAAAGGAGAAAAATACATACAAGTTTCTACCTCAGCAAGTACATCCTCAACAGATCGATGCATATACGCCGTATCTACATATCCCAATAACTTCACATTATCGAATGCATTCAAAGAGGCAATGGCATCGATATAGACAGAATCGGGGAAGGAATTGAAAGCACCGGGTCCGGTGGATGGGTTGATGACGAGAGTGTATGTTATAGAGGGGTAGAGGGGGATGGTTGTTAAGAGCCAGTTCCAGGCGAAAGGAAGGGGGTAGATGTAGAGGGGAAGGAGGATAGAGATGGGGAGCATTTTAGAGTTGGCTGGTGAGTGATGAGTGAGTCTGGGTATAAAGTGGTGTTTGTTCCGAGATACTGAGGGAGTTTTCCTGAGAATGGTATGCTAAATGTGTGTTTAGAGAGATGTATTGGATTGACTTGTGAGCATATGTACTTGAAGACGTATACCGGAAATTCGAAGGATATGAATATGAGAATCAATCAAACATGTTCCAGTCACCTACCTACTAACTGTATTCACCTGAATATCCTACCTAGGTAGGTAAGTAATAGTGATTAACTAAATCCGAATCATCATCTTGTAGTTCTCATTCATTACCTAACGAGACAAATTTGATAGTAAGGCATGTTACGATATGGGGTTGGGAATCATATTGGGATATATTAGGTTTGTTCACTTTCTTGTTGTTCGTGCGGAGGAACTCGAAGCAGATTTTGATGAGTATGAGGAAATTGAGACTGTTACAAGATCTTTGATACTTGATGAATGGAGAAAATGAAAGCAGTTCAGAATATTGAGATACAATGAAGTGTAGTGTAGTAAACGACAGTGAAGTCATCTCGAAGTAATTAATCCCCATGCGAAGAACTTGACAAAACATACCTAGGTACCCGCCTATTCATTCATACTCCGAATCTTAAAGAAACATTGTATCTCCCAGATCACCAATCTCCTCTTTTATTAAGAAGTTATGAGATTATATCATCTTTCCAAAATCAATAAATCTGTACACTGTCAAATATACAGATTAATTCGACTAGACCCATACCCACCCATACCTACCCACACAAATCCCACCCCTAGCCGCTAATCCCCTCCCGCTTCCAAGCCAAACTCTCCGATCTTTGTTCCTCCCCACGGGGAATATAAACTCAATTTAATTCTAGCTTATAACTTTACTCTAAGTGGAATTTCTGATTTCATTTGGTTTACTCACCTAGGTCTTCGATATTGATTATCCGCTTATTAATCTAACTATGTCGAATTAAGAGAATAATAAACTACTTGAAAAATTCGAGATTGTTAGATATATACCTTACCTTACTCATCTATCTACCTATCTATCTACTCATCCATCTACAAACTCAATCACTCCCTCACCAATCCATCTATCTATTCAATCATCCCCATCCCAAATCATATCAACACCCCTCCGGATCTCCCATCAAGATATCTAATTTCCTTTAGAGCTAGTTTAGATGCACAAATCCGGTCAGATCCGTCGAATAATCCAATCATTTTGACAACGAATTCTTGATTTCTGTTTGAATATCAAATCACAGATTCTATTGAATAATTCTGCTTTCAATATATTTAGTATATCAAATAAAGTTAAGGATTTAATTTTCGAAAGATGTATTAAATAATCTATTAGATAATTCAGCTATCTATATAATGTTACGAACAACGCAACATAGGCACGGGACTGGGCACTAAGTCACGTGGTTGGCTCAGTCTGCCTCAACGGGATAGATACTGAGCCATGAAAGTACAAACAAATTAGTATTGAGCTGTACTAATTATATTGAGCAAGAAGGTTTATATAAGGGAATGGGTTTCATTATAATGTAGAGCTTTGTACTCAAGAATAATTATTAGTCTTATTATTATAGTTATGAGAATTGTAATTAATTATAACCTTATTAAATTCCTACTTGAAATTTAATCTAAATCACCTCGAGAGATCTCTAGACACTTCCACGTGACCCTAGAGGCAGCTCCCGTAACATATAAGTAGATTGAAAACAATAATTAGAAAAAGTAGTTAATATAACTAGTTTATTAGTACGTGTATTATATTAGTACGTATATTACTTTAAAAATATATAAAAATCAAGCTTTTCTTAATATTTATATTTTGATAATAATAAAAAATTAAATATTCAAAGATCTAATTTTTATTTAAATATTCTTATTATATTTTAAAAAAAGTTAAAATTGTTATGATTTTTATTGTAAAAAAAATCTTTTTATAATAACTACTATAATCATTTAAATTTTTAATTTATTATTAGAAATTAATAATATTTATATATTTAATTTTCAGAAAATTCTATTTTTAAATAAAGAAGTTATACGATTACGTACAGACGAATTTTATATATAAAAGAAGTAATATACGTACTAATAAACTACGTTAACATAGTTTATCAGTGGGTCAATTATATCAATGGATTGATCACTTTTACCTCGAATTATCATTTCAAAGCTATATTATTCAATAACAATTAAATCAATTGATTAAAACTATTAAGAATCTAATAATTTAGGATTTATTATATTATTTTAATAGATTCTTGTATTATAATCTATCTTTCTGTATTTATTATAATATCAATTAAAAGATACTTCCCCATTAGAATTTCCCCTTTTTTAATATTCATTATATTAAATCTAAATATCAACCTTTTACTAAAATAATATATTAAAAGCCTTTTATTCAATAAATACTCCTCCTTAATATAATTAAGTTTTTTTATACATTAATATTTACTTAATACTTTATTTACTACTCAAAGTATACAATTCTGTTACGGGAGCTGCCTCTAGGGTCACGTGGAAGTGTCTAGAGATCTCTCGAGGTGGTTTAGACTAGACTTCAAGTAGGAATTCAATAAGGTTGTAACTGGTTGCAATTCTCGTAACTATAGTAATGAAACTAATGATTGTTCTTGAGCACGAAGCTCTACATTATAATGAAACCCATTCCCTTATATAGATCTTCGTACCTTATGAATCGACAAGTCGATTACCGTAAAGCCGATTTCGACAAGTCGGTTTCTTGATCACGTGATGTCCATCCCGTGACTGGTAATGATGCCACCGCTTATCTAACCTGTGCTCTCTAGCCGACCTGTGACTGCTGCTTACCCTGTGCCCACTGTAGGGTAGGTAACAACAAAAGATAGGTACCTATCTTTTAATCACTGATTACTTATCTGGTTACCGCTATCTTTCGTTACCCTTCAATTCAACTATCCCTACAGTGCTGTTTTCGTAGGTTCCAACACCAAGGCCTTAGGTTTATCTTATAATCCATGTTGCGGTGCGGGTACCTCCGTAACAAATTCTCTATATTTAAAAGTGTATTTTTATAAGCTAATCTTTTTATACCTTTAACTAAAACTAATACAATTTCAAATATAAATATAGAGAAGCTTACTTAATAACAAATTATTCGAGATTTAATTAATATTGATTAAAAAAGAGCTTTAATTGAATTACAAAGGGTTTGAGAGATTTATTAATCTAGATTAAAAAAAGAAAGAATAGATATACAAATTCGAATATTTAATTTCGAGAATACAGCTTCAAGATTAAATGGAATTAAACTTGTTCTTTAGAATTCTAATTTTATATTCTAAAAGGTAATTGATTCCTTATATACAACTTTAAAAACTATAAAGAATTTAACCTTCAAAATATAATTAATATATACCTTAATAAATCCATTAATTTAATTATCATATAAACATTTTAGATTATTAAAACAGTTAATATTAAATAATTAAATTAAATAACTTAAATACAATAATAAATGTAAATATATAATATCATTCTTTTTATAGTATATTTGAAAAGCTATTAATTTGTAACTTTTATACCTATTCAGTATTAACATTCGATATTTACCCTTTCTTCAATTCTTAATATACTTATCGAAATATTTCAATTGTTTTAAACCTGTTTTATTATTTGTTTATTTATTAGATATAGATTTAATAGCTCATTCTATAAAAAGATCGATTTCGATATACCAATTAGAGAGATAAACTTATCCCTGAATTACTAGAAATGAGGGAATAGTTTCGCCCTTTTCATTTTCATATATTATTGCTATAGCCCATTCTCAATTGCCTAGTTATATAAATTTACTTTTGCTATATCTCTCAGTATTAATAATCATTACTATACATATAATTCTTATTATAAAGCCTATTTCATCGAAATTATAGAAATCTCCATCCAAAATGCTATATTTCGCTTATATATTTACAACTAATCAAAACCATTCTTTAATAAGCTTAGAATTCTTATAAAAAACTCTTTGAAAATCATAAACATAACTAAAATATATCTTTAATTCAATTCAATACTTTACAAATCAATATACCCAAAGCTTCTCAATGCATTTCGTATTCTTCAATTTGAAAATATAATTCATTATATCTTTCACATTCTTAAATTTAAATAGAAAACCTTTCAAATCCATATCAAAAATATATTAAATAAATATCTCCTCTTTTAATTCAATCAAATTATAACTTTTTAATTAACTTTCAACTATATTAGATTTACCTCAAATTCTATTATTTAATATAGTTCGAAATATATAATAAAATTAAGCTACCTTTCAAATTGATAATTTTTTATCTAATTCAATAGCTTGATGTTACGGGAGCTGCCTCTAGGGTCACGTGGAAGTGTCTAGAGATCTCTCGAGGTGGTTTAGACTAGACTTCAAGTAGGAATTCAATAAGGTTGTAACTGGTTGCAATTCTCGTAACTATAGTAATGAAACTAATGATTGTTCTTGAGCACGAAGCTCTACATTGTAATGAAATCTGTTCTCTTATATAGACCTTCCTGCTCTGCAGAACCTACAGTTCTGTCTTGTCTGGATCCTCTGGATCCTATGGATCTAGATGTTTATTCTTCGATCCCCTAGATCCTCTAGGTCCATCACGTGACTTCCTGACCATGTGACGCGGTATATTGGATGCCGTCGTAACACTTGAATAATTAAGATTATATATACTTCTTTAGAATAAATTTTTATAATTAATTATAAAGAAAACACATATTAAATATAGAATAATAATTCGAGGTAAAAGTGGCCGATTCACTAATATAACCGACCCACTGATAAACTACGTTATATCTTTAATAATTTTATCGAGTATATATTATATATATACTCTATTTTCTCTCATTTTCATAAATTTCAATAGATTTTATAGTAAAATCAATATATAAATAGAAAAATGAAAAAAAATCTATCTTTTTCAAAG